AGTGTGTCCCGTTGTCAAATTCCATCCACAGGGGGAGTCCAAAGCGAGGAACGATCTCCTTAACAAACTTGAGGGCCACTGTTCTGGCAGTGCAATTACGGCATGGGAAGGCTTCTGGCCATCCGCTGAACTGATCCACTATAACAAGGAGATATTTGAACCCTTGGGTCCGGGGAAACTCAGTAAAGTCTATTTGCCACACTTGTCCAGGGCCTGGAGTGGGTTCTAGGGCAGCTGGTGGCACAGGATGTCCCGGTGGGGGGTTATTCTTTTGGCAGACTAAGCAGTCCGCTTGTACCTGGGCAGCCAGGGGTCGGAGTCCGGAAGTGATAAAGTATTTTCCCATTAGCTGGATAAGTGCTTCCCTGCCAGCATGAGTGGTTTGATGTAGTTTCTGCAGCACTGGCCGGATTAGGCCCTTTGGTAAGAGGACCTTCCCTTCTGGGGAATGGAGCCATCCCTCCTTTTTCCAGAGACCGAGTCTGACAGTTAGCTGTCTCTCCTCCCCAGAGTACTGAGGGGTTGGAAGCTCCCCTACTGATGGGATAAGGGCATGCATATGGGCGTTCTCAGTCTGAGGGGATGGCAGGGTGGCAGCATGCTTAGCCTCTCTATCTGCCCGGGCGTTACCTCTGGCCACATCTTGATCCTCCCTTTGATGGGCTTTACAGTGAACCACCGCCACTTCCGAGGGGAGTTGTACGGCTTCTAGGAGCCAGAGGATTTGGGGCCCGTACTTGACTGGGGAGCCTTGGGCTGTCAGCATTCCCCTTTGCTTCCATAGGCCAGCATGAGCATGCAGCACACCAAAAGCATACTTTGAATCAGTAAAAATGTTGACCCGCTTTCCTTTTGACAGTTCAAGTGCACGGGTCAGGGCTATTAGTTCGGCAAGCTGGGCAGAGGTCCCAGCAGGCAAACCTTCAGCTTCCACAGTGTCATGGAGGGTCACAACAGCATAACCCCTCCCAATGTTAGCTTCTCGGCTTCCTCAAGCAATAGGGCAGTAGCTGCGACCGCCCGTAAACATGCCGGCCAACCCTTTGCAACCTGATCCAATTGCTTAGAAAAATAAGCCACAGGACGCTTCCATGCTCCTAACAGCTGTGTAAGCACTCCTAGGGCACCCCCCTTCGTTCATGTACATACAACTGAAACGGCTTAGAGAGATCTGGCAGGCCCAGAGCCAGGGCTTCCATCAATTTTCTTTTCAGGATTTTAAATGCCCTGTCAGCCTCTGGGGTCCAATAGAAGGGGTCATGATCTGCTCCTTTTACACAGTCGTACAGGGGTTTAGCCCACAGTCCAAACTCTGGGATCCATATCCTGCAAAAGCCTGCCATACCCAGAAATGCCCTGAGCCGCTTACAATTATTTGGAGAGGAACTTGACAGATAGATTCCTTTCTTTTTTTTTTTTTTCCGCTTGAACGCTGACGCTCCCCTTGCCTTAGCTGTAACCTGATCCCTCTCCACCTCAGACAACAGGGTTCTCAGGAGGATATTACAGTCGTCTCAATCGGCTTGTGACTACTGAGGCACCCCTCAAAGACTGAAATAAACCTGCTTGCGTTCGTTGAGAATTCCCCAGCCTGTGTTTTAAAAGCTGCTAAGTCTATTGGATTGAATGGCACATGGGTGTAAACTTGCATAGTGGTAGCCTGATGTCCGTCTGCCCCTGGGCAAGCCACAACAGTCTCGGTAAGCAAAGGATAGAGTCCCACCGAGGGGGCAATCTCTGTAACCCGAGGCATCCTACCCTTATAAAGTGGGGGTGTGGGGGCCAAAGGGGACACCGGCTCTGCCATTACAGTGGGGGTGGGGGTCTGGGGACTAACATTAGCTGCTACCGAACCAGTCGGAGTCAAATTACAACTTTGCAGAATTACAGCTCTGTTTTATTTTTTAAAGCCATAAACGCTTGTGCATACAAATATTCATTCCATTTACCCATTCACTGACAAAACAAAACTAATTGGAGGATCGTGTTGTAATTAATTGACCCTCCTGGTGGCCACCACTCCTGGTCCTCTAGTTGATATTGAGGCCAGTCAACTGTACAGAATCGTTTTAATTGGCTCTTAGTCATCGGATCCGCACCAAATACCTTCCAGTTTGCTAGAATGCACTCTAGGGGCGTACACCGTGCCCTAACCTCTGAGCTCTGTACCTGTCCCATACTCTGAGCATCCCCAGGTTCCAACAGAGCATACAATCCGGATTTTAAAAGGTTCCTACCTTATCCAAGGGACCGGTTCTTCACTGTGGCCTGCAGCTGCTCCTCCCCCATGTCTAAGGGATCGGTTCTTCACTGCCGTCCACAACAGCTTCTCCACTATATGAGTGCGTTGCACCGTTGTGCCCTCTGGGGTCAATCAAATCGCATCTCCTCCGAGGCCCCCCGATGAACTCACCGGTGCGCGCTGGGCGTCGGTTCTCGCCGCAATCCTCGACCTCCAGGAGGAGTCCGGGCAAGGCTAAACTGCAGCCTCGTCGCCCACCCAGGGACGCCAAAAGCTCTTGCCGGCACCCAGTGCCGAGAGGCTGAACAACAGCTTGAGTTGGTTCGTTACCCGGTGTGCTACACCCAATAATCACAACGGGGTGGAGAAGCAGAAAAGTATATTTGCAGCTGCAAAAAGGTACAGGGAGAATAAAATCTCAAATCCTGCACACAGAGCAGGAAATTACACAGGCTTTTATACATCCTTTTTCCCAGCATACTTATCCAATAGCAAGCTGCCCCAAGTATCCATATAGCTAGCCAATCCAGTTCCCAGCTTGTTCCCTGGTTCTCTGTATCATTTGTTAAACTATACATAAAGCTGCTTTATTCAGCATTGTTCTTCCATATCTCCCCTGTTTGGCCTTGCTTAGTTTCAGGCAATCTGACTCTGCAACACATTGTTGCAGATTCTCAGTATAACTGCTGTGTGTGCCTCCAGGTGGGGGGGGGGGGGGGCAAGGACACTTGGGCATGGTACGCAGAGCTGCTGCGAGTGCCTCCAGGCGGGAGGGGGGGCCAAGGACCTGGGCCTAGTGCGAGGGGGCTTCATCGACACTCGTGGTCTTCCATCCCCTCGAGTTACCTAGTGGCCATGCCCCAGTGTCCCCAACAGGAGCAAGTGTATCCTGATCAAAATCAGGACCAATGCTGTCCTTTCCAGATGAAGATGATCCAAAATGTTATGGAACATAGTTCAGAGAGGAACCAGATACTTGTAAAATCTCATACAGATGACCTTCTCCATTTTAAGGCATAAGCTTTCTCTGTTGGGACCTTATGAGACTGTAAAAGGAATGCTGAACATTCAGGGTAAAATGCTGGCACTGTTGAAGTCATTTGGATTTTTTATCACTGACTTTAGTAGGGCCAAGATTTCATCCTTAGTGTTGAGACCTAGGAGGTGTCACAATATAAGCAGCCAAGCAGAGGGACTCCAGGTCTGGGTAGAGGATCTGACCAACATTCTGAGGTTTAGAATCATTAAGTTCTCCACAGAACGAGTATATGAGCCCTGATGCAAAATCGCAGAAGGATATTTCAACTCTTAACTGTGTATCACGCCTAGACACCGATGATGGCGGCCACATCAAAATATGTAGATGTATGTAATTTCTAAAATAGTGCCTTCCACTTAGTACTTGTCTTGTCCAGTAACCAAATGCGTTAGCCAGATGACTACCTGAGGAGTAATCTACAGTTTGCAAAGCACACAGTTGTCAGCATTGTCTGATTAATACAAAGTTTATAATTTTAGACATTTTATTGTTACAGACCTTTCCTTTGACTTTTTCTTCTTTGATCATACTCGGTGTGGGCTTTCCCTTATTAAATGTTAAGAACATGAGAACGTAAGAATGGCCCTACTGGGTCAGACCAAAAGTCCATTTAGCCCAGTATCCTGTCTTCCAACAGTGGCCAGTACTAGGTGCCCCAGAGGGAATGAACAGAACAGGTAATCATCAAGTGATCCATCCCGTCACTCATTCCCAGCTTCTGGCAAACAGAGGCTAAGAACACCATTCCTGCCCATCCTGGCTAATAGCCACTGACAGACCTATCCTCCATGAATTTATCTAGTTCTTTTTTGAACTCTGTTTTGTTATGCACAGACCTTCCAAACATCACCCATCATACATATTCGAATCATTTTTTATAGCAAATGTTGTATGAAAGATTAATTAAATGAACAGGGCAACACATAAAATTGCAATCCTAATGTTGATTAAAGTGACTGTTTTATATGATTAACAACATGACAACAGCAATAAAATTCATATAGCAACCAAAAACGTCAGCACTAAATTTAGCTTTTTCAGCTGGATCCTCTTGTAAAAACAGTGCTCTGCTTAGTGCATGATCACCCAACACAGTAGCATTTAACCTCCGAAATGGAAACTACACAAAAATAAGGAAGCTAGTTAAACAGAAGTTAAAAGGGCCAGTCACAAGAGGGAAATGCCTGCAAGCTGCATAGACGCTTTTTAAGAACACCAAAAGAGAGGCTCAAATTAAATGTATTCCCCAAATTAAAAAACACAAGAGGACCCCAAAAGTGTGATGGTGGCTAAACAAGGAAGCAAAAGAAGTGATTAAAAGCAAAAAGGCATCCTCTTAACATTGGAAGCTGCATTCTACAGAGCAAAACAGAAAAGAGCATAAACTCGGGGGTCTCGCTAACGGCCGGGGCACCAAGGACGCCGCTTCGCGAGGACCGCTCCAGTCCAGGCGGTAACCTGCAGCCAGGGCTTTGCCGCCCTAGCCGCGCCGGCAGCTGAGGGAGCGGCCCCAGCAGCGGGCAACACCCGAGCCGCGCACGTGGACGGCAACCCGCGCACGAGACCGGCTCTGGCGGGGCGTGGGGAGAGGCGCGCGCGCCCGGCCTCCCTCCTCCCGGCACGCGCAGCCGTTACGCTCCTTCCGGAGAAACCGAAACCACCTGTGGGCGCATGCGCAGGTTTCGCGTGAGCGGGGGCGGGGGCGCAGCAGCCGGGCCGAGGCGGGAGCTGGCGCAGGGAGGAAGCGGAAGAAGGGAGCGAACGTGGGTCGGGTCGGGTCGGGTCTGGCCTGGCCATGGACGCGGCGGCGCTAGAGCTGGACGCGGTGAAGTTCGCCCAGCTGGCGGTGCAGAGAGACCAGGGCGGGCGCTACCAGGAGGCGGCCTTTTACTACAAGGTGCCGGGACCCCTCCCCCCGCCGCTGCAGCCGGGTTCGCCCCCCCCCGGGACCCCCCCTCCCCGCCGCTGCAGCCGGGTTCGCCCCCCCCCGGGACCCCTCCCCCCGCCGCTGCAGCCGGGTTCGCCCCCCCCCGGGACCCCCCCTCCCCGCCGCTGCAGCCGGGTTCGCCCCCCCCGGGACCCCCCCTCCCCGCCGCTGCAGCCGGGTTCGCCCCCCCCCCGGGACCCCCCCCTCCCCGCCGCTGCAGCCGGGTTCCCCCCCCCGGACCCCCCTCCCCGCCGCTGCAGCCGGGCCCCCCCCCCGGGACCCCCTCCCCCGCCACTGCAGCCGGGACCCCCCTCCCCGCCGCTGCAGCCGGGACCCCCCCTCCCCGCCGCTGCAGCCGGGACCCCCCCTCCCCGCCGCTGCAGCCGGGACCCCCCCTCCCCGCCGCTGCAGCCGGGTCCCCCCCCCTCCCCGCCGCTGCAGCCGGGCCCCCCCCACCCCCTCCCCGCCGCTGCAGCCGGGTTCGCCCCCCACCCCCCTCCCCGCCGCTGCAGCCCCCCCCCCCGGGACCCCCTCCCCCCGCTGCGCCGGTCCCCCCCCCACCCCCCCTCCCCCCCTGCCGGTCCCCCCCCCCGACCCCCCTCCCCCCCTGCAGGTTCCCCCCCCGGACCCCCCCTCCCCGCCGCTGCGCCGGGTCCCCCCCCACCCCCCCCCCCCTCCGTTCCCCCCCGGCCCCCTCCCCGCCGCTGCGCCGGGTTCCCCCCCCGGGACCCCCCTCCCCGCCGCTGCAGCCGGGTTCCCCCCCCCGGACCCCCCTCCCGCCCTGCGCCGGGTCCCCCCCCCGACCCCCTCCCCGCCGCTGCGCCGGGCCCCCCCGGACCCCCTCCCCCCGCTGCAGCCGCCCCCCCCGGCCCCCCTCCCCCCCTCCCGGGTTCCCCCCCCGGGACCGCCCCCTCCCCCCCTCAGCGGGTTCCCCCCCCGCCCCCCCTCCCCCCTCAGCCGGGTTCCCCCCCCGGACCCCCCTCCCCGCCCTGCAGCCGGGTTCCCCCCCGACCCCCCTCCCCGCCGCTGCAGCCGGGACCCCCCTCCCCGCCGCTGCAGCCGGGACCCCCCCTCCCCGCCGCTGCAGCCGGGACCCCCCCCTCCCCGCCGCTGCAGCCGGGACCCCCCCCTCCCCGCCGCTGCAGCCGGGACCCCCCTCCCCGCCGCTGCAGCCGGGACCCCCCTCCCCGCCGCTGCAGCCGGGACCCCCCCCTCCCCGCCGCTGCAGCCGGGACCCCCCCCCCCCGCCGCTGCAGCCGGGACCCCCTCCCCGCCGCTGCAGCCGGGACCCCCCCTCCCCGCCGCTGCAGCCGGGACCCCCCTCCCCGCCGCTGCAGCCGGGACCCCCCTCCCCGCCGCTGCAGCCGGGACCCCCCCTCCCCGCCGCTGCAGCCGGGACCCCCCCTCCCCGCCGCTGCAGCCGGGACCCCCCCTCCCCGCCGCTGCAGCCGGGACCCCCCCTCCCCGCCGCTGCAGCCGGGACCCCCCTCCCCGCCGCTGCAGCCGGGACCCCCCCCTCCCCGCCGCTGCAGCCGGGACCCCCTCCCCGCCGCTGCAGCCGGGTTCCCCCCCCGGACCCCCTCCCCCCGCTGCAGCCGGGTCGCCCCCCCGGACCCCCCTCCCCCCCTGCAGCCGGGCCCCCCCCGCCCCCTCCCCGCCGCTGCGCCCCCCCCCCCCACCCCCCTCCCCCCCTGCCCTCCCCCCCCCCCCCCCCCCCCCCCTGCCGGCCCCCCCCCCCCCCCCCCCCCTCGCCCCCCCCCCCCCCCCCCCCTCGTCCCCCCCCCCCCCCCCCCCCCCCCCCCCCCCCCCCCCCCCTGCCCGGGTCCCCCCCCGGCCCCCCTCCCCGCCCTCCGGCCCCCCCCGGCCCCCCTCCCCCGCTGCGCCGGCCCCCCCCCGCCCCCCCCCCCCCTGCGCCGGGTTCCCCCCCCCCCGGGACCCCCTCCCCGCCGCTGCGCCGGGTTCCCCCCCCCGGACCCCCCCTCCCCCCGCTGCGCCGGGTTCGCCCCCCCCCCCGGGACCCCCCCTCCCCGCCCTGCAGCCGGGTCCCCCCCGGGACCCCCCTCCCCCCGCTGCGCCGGTCCCCCCCCCGGGACCCCCCTCCCGCCGCTGCGCCGCCCCCCGGGACCCCCCTCCCCCCGCTGCAGCCGGGTTCCCCCCCCGGGACCCCCCTCCCCCCGCTGCAGCCGGCCCCCCCCCGGGACCCCCTCCCCCCCTGCGCCCCCCCCCCGGGACCCCCCTCCCCCCTCCGCCCCCCCCGGCCCCCCCCCCCCGCGCCGGGTTCCCCCCCCGGGACCCCCTCCCCCCCTCCCGGTCCCCCCCCCCGGGACCCCCTCCCCCCCTCCCGGCCCCCCCCGGGCCCCCTCCCCCCCCCTCCCCCCCCGCCCCCTCCCCCCCTCACCGGTCCCCCCCCGGGACCCCCCCCCCGCCCTGCACCGTTCGCCCCCACCCCCCCCCCCCCTCCGGACCCCCCCTCCCCGCCGCTGCAGCCGGGTTCGCCCCCCCCCGGGCCTCCCGGGAGCTCCCTACCTCCCCGATTTCATGTCTCTGCCCCGGGTGATCCCGTCTCCTGAATGGATGCCCCCCGCCCGCACACATTGTCCGCATCTGTGTCCCACACGCCGTGAGGGTCCTCGCCCACCCAGGGGGTTAGTCCTAGAACTGGACTGTGCAGGGACTGGAAGATCGCCTGGGCGTTTGACACTGACCGGGCATGGAAGGGGAGATGGGGGGCGGGGGAGGTTTGATAAGCGGAGTTCTCCTCCTTGAGTGCAGGCCAAGGTGTAAAGTGGTGGCTTGGGGGAAGATATATTATCCCAGATCCCATGGTTGTTTGTCTCCTCTCCCTTCAGTCAGACAGTCTTCCTCAGAGCAGTGAGTATTAAATGCCTGTAGCCCATCTTCGAAGAAAAGGGACCTGAGTGGCTATGCATGCAGTGGGTTTCCTTTTTGATCTCATCACTGCCCATTTTTCGTCCCTGTGTATTGGGGGGCTTTACCATTACTTTGGAGTACTTGTGGCACCTTAGAGATTAACAAATTTATTTGAGCACAAATGGGAGTGGATGGAGTTCCAGCACACAGAAACCTTAATGTGATCTCATTGCAAAAGGAAGAGAAATACAATGTTCTTCTTCCAGTTTTGTGGTGCATTTCACTGCTAGCCCCTGGAGACATTTTTGCATTTGATCAATAGTGAAGTGGGAAAATTTATCTCTTTAACATCCGAGATCTAAGAACAAAGTATGCTAGAAAACTGCAAGTGAACAAATTTGGGCTCTTAAGTTCTGTACACAGCAGCAATCAGCCTTAACTGTATCATTTATGCATACATAAATGCGAAGCCCCAATGCAAAAGGTTATTAATGGGATGATTTCAAACTACATACTACTTGTGTATTCCCATATAATGATTCTTGGCTTATACTTATGCAGCCGGGTTCGCCGCGCCCCTGTCCCGGGACCACCGCCCTCCCCCCATCGCTCAGCTGGGTTCGCCCCCCCTCCCCGGGAGCTCCGTACCTCCCCGATTTCATGTATCTGCCCTGGGTGTTCCCATCTACTGCATGGATGCCCCCCCGCCCGCACACATTGTCCACATCTGTGTCCCACATGCAGTGAGGATTCTCACCCACCCAGGGGGTTAGTTAATCGAACAGCATTTTACATACCTAACTGCACTCTGAGGTCTCTGTTTTAATACCAGCTGTATAGCTGTGTGAGGTTAGCATGGAGAGGTTACATGACCTCACATTCTCACCTCACATTCGTGGCACTCAGAATAAAATCCTGACTTCCAGTCTCTGGCCACAGCTGCTACACAACACTTCCTCTAAATTATTTTGATTATGTTGAGTTGGAAGTTCTAGTCCAGTTCAGATGTAATACATCAACTTTATGGTATCTGCAGAGTATCCACACTATTTTTTTTGTTTTATTTGGTGCACTCTTGTCCTATCAGTAGGAAATAAACTTTTAAAGACTGACTGTGCAATACTGATTGTTTTCTGTCTAGATTTCTTATTGACTAGCAGTAGTAACTCTGACAGTATGACCCTTCTACAGTTATAGTAAAGTAGCTCTGGATGTTCATCTTTTGAACAGCTACCTTTGTGCTGTAATGGTGCTTATCAGTCTTATCTTTTGAAGACTTTTGCCTAATCAGAAGTGATGGTTTGATTATTATTAGCTAATTTTCTTGTACATTTATTTTGACCTTTGTTCCAAGTGGTGTTTTGTTTTTGTTTTTCGCTGTCCGGGACTACTGTCTTGTGGGAGAATTAGGTCTATGTACTTCAATCAGATCCACTAAGGCAGACTACAATAACTCCTCGCTTAATGTTGTAATTATGTTTGTGAAAAGTGCGACTTTAAGTGAAACGATGTTAAGTGAATCCAATTTCCCCATAAGAATTAATGTAAATGTGGGGTTAGGTTCCAGAGAAATATTTTTCACCAGACAAAAGACTGTATTTACACACACACAGTATAAGTTTTAAACAATTTAATACTGTACACAGCAATGATGATTGTGAAGCTTGGTTGAGGTGTTGAAGTTAGAGGGTGGAAGAGGGTGGGATATTTCCCAGGGAATGCCTTACTGCTAAATGATGAACTAGCACTCGGCTGAGCCCTCAAGGGTTAACACATTGTTGTTAATGTAGCCTCATACTACAAGGCAGCACAAATTGAGGAGGGGAGACAGCATGGCAGAGAGAGACACCCTGTGTGTGTGTGTGTGTGAGAGAGAGAGAGAGAGCCGCATTGCCCCTTTAAGTACACTGACCCACTCTGAGTACATTACCTTTTTAAGTAGATCAGCAAGTTGAGACAGCAGCTGCTGCCAGCAAGCTCACTCCATCTGTGTCGCCTTCCCACCGCCTGCTCTGTGGAGATGGGGTGAGTAGGGGGGGAGGGGGACACCCTGACATTAGCCCCCTTCTTTCCCCCTCCCTCTTCTCCCCCTCCCACCACACAGCAGGCAGGAGGCTCCGGGGAGGAACTCCAAGGCAGTGGGGAGAGGGACAGCTGAACTGCCAGCAATTGATAGTCTGCTGGGTGGCTGCCGCACAGGAAACTTCGGGGAGCTGATAGGGGGCTGCCGGTCCGCCCTGGTTCCAAGCCCCCACCAGTTAGCTCCAACAGGCCGCTCTTCCTGCAAGCAGTGGAGAAAGCAGGCAGCTGCCAAACGACGTTATAAGGGAGCATTGTGCAATTTTAAACGAGCATGTTCTCTAATTGATCAGCAATGAAACAACGTTAACCGGGACGACTTTAAGTGAGGAGTTACTGTACATTGTTTGGAGCCCTACTGTAATCATTCCATGTTAGTAGATCTTAATTCAAGCTCTATAGGCCTTAAGTTAGATATCGAGATTCTCTACAATTGGTGACAATATAAGTATAATGAGGTTTGCACAAGGAGAACTTGCAAGATCAGGCCCCAAGACAGCTGTGCCTATGTGGAGCCCCGTTCATATCTGGTACAACTGCATGGAGCAGCTTGCAGAATTGAGGCCTGTGTTTGCTATGCTGCTAAATGAAAAGCATGGCTAACTTAAAGTGCAAATTTGTACTATATGCTTTGCACAGTACTTGCAAATTCTTTACAAACTCTGCTAAATTCTGTGTTTTTTTTTTCACAAAAACACGGTGAATGGATGTACAGCTTTCTTTAGCTGATAGCATTGTAAGTACACTTGAAATGAGACTGGTATTGTAGGATATGAAAATCCTTAAGTACTGTGCATCCAGATTTGAGCTGTACAGTCCTTTCTTGTTCAAAACATCCATTAACACAAGTTCATGTTATGTGCATACAAAAACTGGAGGATGAGGCTCCAGGAGCATTCTAGAGTGGTGGACTGTTAATTTTATTGTACATGAAGATTTGGTAGTGTTATGCCAGCAAAATTAGTAGAGTCATGATTGAGATGTTTTGTTTTTCTAATGTATGTCTTACTTTAAGATTCTTGTATATTTGATTTGCTTCTCTTTCAGACTGAAGTTCTTTGTTTTCCAGTCAGAAGTAAATTGATAAATATAGGGAAAAAAACAACTTCAGTTATGCACCTGTCTTTTTTTTTCCATTTTCTGAATCTACAATTATATAAAGATATCTGAGTCATTAAATAATGAGTGCAGATAATTGAATATTGAATGGGCAACAAGCTCTTTTTAAAAATGCAGGGAGACTGACTTCAGTGGAAGCGAGGCACCTACATAACTTTTGAGAATCTGGGCTTTAGTGACTTGGGCTAAAGGTTTAACTGATTTAAGTGTAGCTACATTTGAGGTTTGCGCTGGTACAGGTAGGTTGATGATTTTTTAAAAATCTATTTAGTTAAGCCAGGGCACTGATCTAATATAGACAAGTTCTAAGAGATGGTTTTATACACTCTCAGGAAGCTCATTTTAATTTTGCAGGTCACTCCATGTGCTAAAATATTAAGTGGAAGGAAAAACAACAGAGGCCTCAGTTGTGACTTGAAACAAGTTCTGTGCAGGCAGAGCCTCCTTGAAGTCATTGAGGCGCTTTGCAGGCCCAAGGGCTCACCTGCATGGCGCTCATTGCAAGTTCATAACCCAGTATTGCAGAAAGGACTTCTTCTTACAGCAAGCAGATTTATTGCATGTTAACTTTTCCCCCAGGAAGCTGCCCAAGCCTTGATTTATGCTGGAATGGCAGGCTCAAACTTTGAAAATATTCAAGAGAAGATAAATGAGTACTTGGAGAGAGTTCAAGCTCTGTATTCAGCAGGTTGGTGAAGAGCTTTCTAATTATATATGTTAGATTAAATTCACGGAGTGGGAAGAGGTATGGTCCTGTCAACCATAAAACTGAATTACCATATTTCATCCGATATCCAGAACCCCCCAACACTTGAGTAAGCTGAGTGTTAAGATGCATCGCAAGTGAAGCTTATGTGGGGGCAATTATTTCATATTAACACGAATCGACTTTTCTTCTAAATATTCTTACATAAGGAAGTGGAGCACTTCTGTCATGGTAAATTTGAGAAAATCGTTTAGCCATAGCGCGTGCAAAAAAAAAAAAAGTGCCAAGGACAAATAACACATGCATTTAGGCCCCATTTCTGTACTGAAATCTATGCAGGTGGACTCCTTCTCCTATGTGGAACGCTGCGTGGTCACGGATACACTTGTGATTTCATTGCAGTATTGGTGCTTGGGCCTACAACACACACAACCCCCACTGAGTCGTACCAAGTTCATTTATCTCAACAGGAGTTTTTTCCACCAGAAGTACAGGATCTCACCATATTTTATAGAAAACAATTATAGCATATATAGAATTAAAGTTAACTATATTCATATTTTTATTTCAAAATCACAGTACCCTGACGCACCATGTCTCTAGTTCCTATGTTGTTCCTTTATTGTATTGTCTTTTTAGCTTAGAATCCGACAGGATGTTTAAAAGTGGTGTTGGTTTCTGGCCCGTGAGCAGACATAAGCTGTGTGACTGTTGTGTTCTTGCTTACCTATTGTAATAAAGATTTTTCCACCCAAACAACTATCACAGCTAGCTAAATGCTGTATTTTTTAAAAATGTAGTTCAATCACAGAACACCGACCCTTTGAAGTCAAAACAGCAATTGGACCTGGAGCGTGCCCATTTCCTGGTTACACAGGCTTTCGATGAAGATGACAAAGGCAATGCAGAAGAAGCTATAGAATTGTACTCCGAAGCAGTGGAACTCTGTTTGAAAACAGTATGTTATGCTACAAGTTAACTTGGTGGAATTATGTGTTGGTAAGAAATTCTTCCATTTACACAGGTGACTGATCTTTAGAGGCTGGCTTAAAAATGTAGTACCTGTATTTTGATTTTTGTTTTGTTTTTTGGTGTTTTATTTGCCTTCTATTCTCTACATCCCATTGAAAAATACTTTGCATACATTGGCTACAATCACTTGATCCTGCACTGTTCTTCAACAGTGTAAAATTGATATGTGGGGTTTTTTCTTCCTAAATTCTCTTTAAAATGTATATAAACCCTATAAATTTGCTGGAATATTCTTTTGGAATCTATAGTCTGTAGCCAGTAGAAAGCTAAAACAGTTTAAAGTGTAATTATTCTTCCAAGAAGAAGGTCCTTTAATGTGTCATTGGAGACTTTTTTTTTTAAATATATTAAAGGCAAATGCTTTTTTTTTTTAAAGTAACACTTAACATAATTTAAGTGTTCCTACAGATTTTCACTAATCTTCTTTTAAGACATTAACACTGTACAAATTAATCCCAGTTAAAATAGAAATAAATAATTGCCTAATTACTTTTAGTATTTAAGTGTAACTAAATAATATTACAGGTACTGCTTTTTTCATACTAAGTCCAGTAGCCAAAACTAATTCATTAGAGGAAGAGCTCACCATCATGATGTAACTCCACCAAGCCTGATTATCTTCTTCTGCCCATTTTTTGTGACGTGATATGTTGGGAGGGTAACATTACTATTTCTCAAGGTAATATTTACATAAAACGTTTAAACGTTTTGGTCTGAATCCTGCAAATACTTATGCATATGCCTGACTTCACTTAGGTAAATAGTACCGCAGAAGTGAAAGGGACTGTACAAGCTATGAAGTTAAGCACTTTCGTTTGGTTTTGCAGGATCAGGGTCTAATCAAAGACTAAATGTTTTTTCCCTTTGATTTGTTGGCCCTGAGCTCTTTCTGCCTATGTGGGTATTCATCATATATCATTTTGTTGTCTCCTACTCTCTGTTGTTACCATGTGTTGCCACATATCTTTAGATTAAATATTGTGCATACAATTAATATCACTTTTTAACCATTCTTCTCACTTGGGTCCCTCATTAGATGCAGCTGGTGTCTGAGTTTCCCTTCACCTTGGGTAATCTGTTGCTTTAGCAAGGTGATAGTTTTATGCTTTTGGCACTGCAGGCAGTGCAAGAAGGTTCCTCTCCCCCTCCAAGGTAAAAGAAAGTCCAAACAAACCGTCCGTTCACACTCTTGGCTACAATGGTTCTATCTAGTTCCTTAGCTGTAGGGCTTTCTGCCTACCATATCCAGGTGGAGAGACCAGTCTGTTCTTCTACCCAGGCGGTATGCAGAGAGCAGTTATCTGTTCCAGCCTGAATATTCCATTTCTTACTTCTCCCATGGTCACTTCCCACCCTCAACCTCCACTGGCTCTGTTCCCAAGCCCCTTCCAGCCACAAAAAACTGGAAATGAGACTTTAACTTGTAAGCTGAAGAGTTTTTAAAAAATGGAAGAAAGTCTTCTGATTTCTTTAATCATAAGTTTCTCTGATTTGTGTGTGGGGGGGGGGGAGTCAGTTGGAAAACTTGAAGGGACACACTCAAGTTCAATGGTGTTTTAACGTAACATCTTTAATAGTTGCTTTTTTTCCCCTGTAGATTTTAACTTGATTTATTTTCCCCCAGCATTCTATGTGAATTTAGTGCTTCCCATGCTGAAAAATTTAAAACAGTACCTTGCATTCTAACAAATGGTGCACTCTGAGACAATGAGAGAAGCAGGTTTATTTATCTTAGTATGTGGAGTTTGCTTTTTTCTTTTTCTTTAATCTGTGTAGGAAGTATTGACTGATTTCCAAAAAGACAAATTTGGAGGATTTCTGAGGTTAAAATCTACAGGGGAAAAATAACTAGTGGGTATTTGGCAGTATGACTTGCACATCTGGAATTAAATTGACAGGTGTGGTTTACAATGCCTGCTATTTTATTTTTTCTCTTAAGGCTAATGAAACTTCAGATGCAATTCTTCAGTCAAAACTCAAACAGCTGGCTAGACAAGCACTGGATAGGTGAGTACTTACAAAATACTCATGCAAACTATTGGTATTGGGTTACAGTGCATACTTTGAGCTGGATTCTCTGGTCCACTCTGTCCATTTTGTGTTGCTCAGGTAGCACAAAGGGGATGGATTCTAGCTTGAAACGGCCCATGGAGAGCTCTTCTTTTGGAGGAGAGCGCCCCACTGGCATAAAGCTGACAGAATCAGCTCCTGTGTCTACTGGGGTATGGTGATATGCTGGGGTAGGGAGAGGACAGGCTAAGAATGGAATGGAGTTTCATAATGTCAGTTCTCGGCTGACACTAGGTCCCTTAGATCTCCCGCAGCGTAAATTAGAGCAGCCCCTTGGCTACTCTAACTAATGCTGGGGTCGAGCCAACACTGAGCCAACCCCTCCCCTGCACTGAGTGGAGCTTTAATGCAGGGGAAAATTGAACACTTTAGTTTAATCTGTACATATATTTGTGTGTGTGTGTGTGTATATATAGTAGATTTAGTGGGCTGGATTCCAGTCTCAGTAACACAGGTATAAATGCAGAGTAACTCCGCATAAATCAACAATTGAAATTAAAATATGGTCTGTAGTGTGTTGAGTTCTGGCAGATGTTATTTCAACACCCTTGTCCATCTCAACATGATAAATTAAATCTCTTCATATCCACATGAATAGTGAACATCCAAATGGATTTTGATTTTTGTGTTTAAATTCCAAAACATACGTACATTTTCACATAAATCCTCCAACTAGCATAATTTTAAAAGCGACAGAAACTTGAAAATGAATTATGCCTAAATTGTTTTATATGCTAATTACTTTTGGTGTATTTTTGCCATTCTTACTACAGGAGAAAGTAGAGAGAGATGCTGGCATCAGGAACTTCCTGAGTATGCATTTCACATCTACATGAAGTGACTTCCTTAGCAAGAGCAAAATAGGTGGTTTTGTTTGTCTCTCTATCTGATGTTAATTATATGGAGGCATGAACAAGCAAATTAATAATTAAACCATACATTTTTCGTTGCTGTAAACAAACATAGAATATTTGTTTTAGAGCGGAGGCACTGAAAGAATCTACGTCAAAGTCGTCTCAGAAAGACAAACAAACGGCAGCTAAACCGAATCAGCCAGTCAGAATGTTCTTTCCTTTGGGACCAGATTTTTCCTTGAATGATAAGCCACAGACTATCAGAACGGTGCAAGCTAGTGAACCTCAAGGTCAGAGATACACTGCAGAGGAGATTGAAGTGCTCAGGTAAGATAGTGTCCAATTTTCTCAAATTTTATTATTCATGTAAATCTAGTGCAAAGTGCTAGATAGAGACATGATTGGGTTTTGTGAGGGGAAGGAGGGCTGGGTGTTTCTGGTTTGGTTTTGTTGGTTGCTTTTTAAGGAGGTGGGAGAAACATTTCTGTAGCACTCATTACCACAGTACAGTAGAACTTCAAGAGTTATGAACGCCTCGGGAATGGAGGTTGTTCGTAACTCTAAACAAAATGTTATAGTTCTTTCAAAAGTTTACAACTGAACATTGACTTAGTAAAGTTTCAAAGCTGTATTATGCAGAAGAAAAATGCTGCTTTCCCTTTATATTTTTAGTAATTGACGTTTTACACAGTACTGTACTGCTTGCATTTTTTTTTTCTTTTTTTTGGTCTCTGCTGCTGCCTAATTGCATACTTCCAGTTCGAAATGAGGGGTGTGGTTGACTGGTCAGTTCATAACACTGAAATTCGACTGTATTGAAAGCTAACACGTTCCAAAAAATAATCTCTTTGTGAGTGAACGCAGATGGCTGCTTGTCAGACAGCATTCTTTGTAAGATGTATTTGATAGAGAATTCAATTCTTCTAATTGGTGAAGTATTTTCTCTGTTTTCTCTGTGTATTCATTATTTCTTTAGTGCAGTACAGAACATAGACCCCACACATTTCCTACCTGAATGAGTGTATAATCTAGGGGCCTGACCCTGTGAGCTGCAGAGATCCCTGTAATATTTACAGAGTTCTCTCGAGTAAAATTGACTTCAATGGGAATTAAGGGTGCTTATCCTCTTGCAGGATTGGGCCTTTACTTAGGCCCACTCCTTCTTGCGTTAACTTTGATGGGAGTAAGATCAGACACATAAATTGTACATGCTTTGGTGTTCAACAATTAATATAGAATATCCTGAGTTGAAATTACAAGTATTGAAAACTCCATCAAATGCATCTTAGGTTACGTCTACAGTGACCCACAGTTTGGCCTGCAGGGGTGTGACTACAGTGCTGCACTGTAACTCGCCTGTGTGGGTGCTGCACGTGCAAACTAAAAGGTTCTTAATTTGTGTTTAATGTAGTTCTCTTCAAAGAGGACTACGTTAATGTGAACCAGGAACTTTTTAGTTCACACCCGTAGCGTCCTCGCAGAGGAATTACGGTGCAGCACTTTGGTGCATACTGCTATTCACATCCCCATAGTCCAAACTGTGGGGCAGTGCACTGTAGAAAAATCCTTCCAAGCGCTGTCTGGACAGATGCACTCTGCTTTTATTTTCAAACAGATACCGGAATGTAAGATTTCAGTGGAGGTTAGTAGTGCCCAGCTCTGTGCCTAAAAACTTAACTCCTGATCCAAAGCCCACTGAAGTCAATGAGTCTTTCCATTGGCTTCGTTGGGCTTTGATCAGGCCCTAACAATATAAATATGTTTGCACAGGAAAAGTTTGACAGTTGTATGAACCAGTTTCGTTTTAAAAACAAAGTTTGCTTTTTTATCTTAACTGATATTTGTGAAATGTAAACCTTTCTAAAGCTTCAAAGAGAACTTTTTCATTGCTTTAAATCCTGTATTTCTTTTGTTTTTGAAAACGTTGTTGTTTTGACTACCTATTGTTCAACATTGGTTACTGAAACTTGTTACGGTCACATCTGACTTGTACATATTTCTTTATTCTTCCTGATCTAAAATAGCCCCTATCTATAGCCCTGTGTGCACTTGACTGTCTCTTTACAAATACACTAATAAATACATCTAGTGTTATCATTTGTACCTTTACTATTTGACTATTTTTTTCATATTCATCCACTTTTGATCAGTTAATCTCTTTAAAAAGTGCCATATCAGTTGTTAGTTATAACTATATCGAAATATATACTTTGTGAAAAAAGAAATTTAAAGACATTGTTGAAAGTAAATTTAAACAAATGTATTTTAAGGCCTTGGATCTCAGTGCTACAGATTGATGTGCAGGCAGCAGACTGTTGTGCGTCTACAGAGGACCATTGGTCTGCTTTTGTGCATATCTTTGCAGGATTGATGCCCAGTCCAGCAAGTACTCCAGCTTTAGAAATGTGGAACTTGTAGTTATTGCCTATTTGAGGCAGAATGCCACAGTCCTCAAGTGCACCATTTCTTGGCTTCTGTTTTGTCATTCCTTCATTGTTGTTTCCTGGGTGTTGTGCTCTGGAAGTTGGTAAAAACCAAATAGCTTTGAACATTATGGTTCCCACTTTGACACTTACAATCATGTTCTCCTTTTATGATGTGCAGAAAGACATCAAAGATAAATGGTATTGAGTATGTCCCGTTCATGAGTGTTGACCTGAGGGAGCGTTTTGCCTTTCCAGTGCCATTTTCGTAAGTGAGCATCAGTTACTCCAGTTATTTTTGTGCTTGTTTTCTCTCAAATTTTTCCTGTCTTCATTGCATTTCCTTTCTCAAAAATCCAAATTGTTCAAGTACAGCTGTAGCTCAGCCTCAAACTGTTGCCAGCCAGTGGAATGTGCCATTCGCACCAAGTTAGTCTGACAGTAGAATAGAGTGGTAACAGCGAAAACTGAGGAGTTGCATGCAACTCCTGCTTAAAACTCAGCCATGATTTTCATAAGTGACTATGGATGTTGGGTGCCTCAAACTCTGGATGCCCCACTTGACACCTTAATGAAGCCTGACTTCAAGAAAGTGCTGAACTCCCAGCTTCTGAAAATCAGGCCCCATTAAACAAATTGTCTCAAAGTGAAAACCCAAAACCACCTGCTAATGGAAAATCCCGGCCCTCCTTTGTATTCTCTGAACCTGGTGTTGCTCAATGCATGCTGATCCTACTGTGCTGTGTTTTTTCGCCTTGTCTTATTCAGTTGCTCTTCCAGTTTTAGAAATCTTTGGACTTTGGGGGTGCGGGTGGGGGGGGGGGGTATAAGCCTGACACCTTCACCACATAATTTCAGAGGGCAGCTTTAGTTTCTCTTCAGAGTGGAAATGGAAATGTGGTTTAGTGCAGTGGTTCTCAACCAGGGGACCCGGGGCCCCCAAGGGGCCGTAAGTAGGTTTCAGGGGTTCCACCAAGCAGTTCCAGCATTAGACTCATTTGGGCCCAAGGCAGAAAGCTGAAGCCCCATCGCATGGGGCTGTGGCATAGCAAGCAGGGCAATTGCCTGTGGCCCTATCTCCCAGTGCCAGCCCTGGCTTTTATACGCACAGCTTATTGTGGCACAGGTGGGCCGTGGAGATTTTATAGCATGTTGGGGTGGAGGGGGGCCTCAGAAAGAAAAAGGTTGAGAACCCCTGGTTTAGTGGATAGAACACTGAACTGGGACGTGGGAGGCCTGGCTTCTGTTCTTGGTTCTGCAGCTAGCATTCTGGATGAAGCTGGGCAAGTCACTTCACCTCTCTATGTCTCTGTTTCTCCACCTGTAAAATGGGGATAGTGATACTGACCTATTTGTAAAGCACTTTGGGATCTATTGATGAAGTTGGTTGTATAAGAGCTAGGTGATATTAGGAGAGCAGCAACGTGGGACTCAGGTGACTTCCTTGGAAGAGGGGACTGCACTGGGGACAGACACTGCTTTTAGTTCAGTTATGTGAAACTGTTGGGAAGATTTATAAATGTAAAGTTCAATGACAATATGGGGGAGATGGGAAATTATGAGTTACAGTCCAGTGTCTTGAGACCTGCCAGGCCCTGAGTGGAATAGCTCAGCACTTTCCAGCACTGAGTAAACTTCTCCAAGTGCTGATCCAACACGTGTGATTTAAAAAAAAAAAATTGATCTTTGTTGTTAAAGATGGCTACTGGAATTCCCCTCTCCTATTTAGTTGCATATGGGAGGGAAACGTCAACATTTAGTATTTTATGTTTTACTTATGATATGTCCCAAATAATTATTAGCTTTGCAAGGCTATTAACTTAAACTACTTTATAGCTGTATTTACATATGTCATAGAATTATAGAAGTGTAGGACTGGAAGGAACCTCAGTAGATCATCTAGTCCAGACTCCTACACTCAAGTCAGGCCTACATACTAACTAGACCATTCCTGACAGGAGTAACCTTTTCTTAAAAATCTCCAACGATGGAGTCTCCAGAACCTCCCTAGGCAATTTGTTCCAGTGCTTAACTACCCTTACAGGTAGGAAGTTTTTCCTAACTTCCAACCTAAACCTTCCTTTCTGCACTTTAAGCCCATTGATGCTGCTTCTGTCCTCAGGTGAAGGAGAACAATTTTTCACCCTCCGCCTTTTAACAACATTTTATGTACTTGAAAACTGTTATCATGTCCCACCTCAGTCTTCTCTTCTCCAGGCTAAACAAACCCAGTTATTTCAGTATTTCCTAACAGGTGATGTTTTCTAGAATTTTAATGTTATTTTGTTGCTTTCCTCTGGATTTTCTCCAATTTATCCACATCTTTCCTGAAATGTGATGCCCAGAACAGAACACACTATTCCAGGTGGGGCCTTATCAGCTTGGAGTAGAATGGAAGAATTACTTCTCCTGTCTTGCTCACAGGTTTCAGAGTAGCAGCCGTGTTAGTCTGTATTTGCAAAAAGAAAAGGAGTACTTGTGGCACCTTAGAGACTAACCAATTTATTTGAGCATAAGCTTTCGTGAGCTACAGCTCACTTCATTGGATGCATTCAGTGGAAAATACAGTGAGGAGATTTATATACACACAGACAATGCAAAAATGGATGTTTACCATACACATTGTAAGGAGAGTGATCACTTAAGATGAGCTATTACCAGCAAGAGAGTGGGGTGGGGGGAGAGAAAACCTTTTGAAGTGATAATCAAGGTGGGCCATTTCCAGCACATTTCCAGGAGTTAACAAGAATGTCTGAGGAACAGTGGGGGGAGGGGGAGGAATAAACAAGGGGAAATAGTTTTACTTTGTATAATGACTCAACCACTCCCAGTCTCTATTCAAGCCTAAGTTAATTGTATCCAATTTGCAAATTAATTCCAATTCAGCAGTCTCTCCTTGGAGTCTGTTTTCGAAGTTTTTTTGTTGAAGAATAATCACTTTTAGATCAGAAATCGAGTGACCAGAGAGATTGAAGTGTTCTCCGACTGGTTTATGAATGTTATAATTCTTGACATCTGATTTGTGTCCATTTATTCTTTTACGTAGAGACTGTCCAGTTTGACCAATGTACATGGCAGAGGGGCATTGCTGGCACATGATGGCATATATCACATTGGTAGATGTGCAGGTGAACGAGCCTCTGATAGTGTGGCTGATGTGATTAGGCCCTATGATGGTGTCCCCTGAATAGATATGTGGACACAGTTGACAATGGGCTTTGTTGCAAGGATAGGTTCCTGGGTTAGTGGTTCTGTTGTGTGGTATGTGGTTGCTGGTGAGTATTTGCTTCAGGCTGGGGGGCTGTCTGTAAGCAAGGACTGGCCTGTCTCCCAAGATCTGTGAGAGTGATGGGTCATCCTTCAGGATAGGTTGTAGATCCTTGATGATGCGTTGGAGAGGTTTTAGTTGGGGGCTGAAGGTGACGGCTAGTGGCATTCTGTTGTTTTCTTTGTTGGGCCTGTCCTTAGTAAGTGACTTCTGGGTACTCTTCTGGCTCTGTCAGTCTGTTTCTTCACTTCGGCAGGTGGGTATTGTAGTTGTAAGAATGCTTGGTAGAGATCTTGTAGGTGTTTGTCTCTGTCTGAGGGGTTGGAGCAAATGCGGTTGTATCGCAGAGCTTGGCTGTAGACGATGGATCGTGTGGTGTGGTCAGGGTGAAAGCTGGAGGCATGCAGGTAGGAATAGCGGTCAGTAGGTTTCCGGTATAGGGTGGTGTTTATGTGGCCATTGTTTATTAGCACTGTAGTGTCCAGGAAGTGGATCTCTTGTGTGGACTGGACCAGGCTGAGGTTGGTGGTGGGATGGAAATTGTTGAAATCATGGTGGAATTCCTCAAGGGCTTCTTTTCCATGGGTCCAGATGATGAAGATGTCATCAATATAGCGCAAGTAGAGTAGGGGCTTTAGGGGACGAGAGCTGAGGAAGCGTTGTTCTAAATCAGCCATAAAAATGTTGGCATACTGTGGGGCCATGCGGGTACCCATAGCAGTGCCGCTGATCTGAAGGTATACATTGTCCCCAAATGTGAAATAGTTATGGGTAAGGACAAAGTCACAAAGTTCAGCCACCAGGTTAGCCGTGACATTATCGGGGATAGTGTTCTTGACGGCTTGTAGTCCATCTTTGTGTGGAATGTTGGTGTAGAGGGCTTCTACATCCATAGTGGCCAGGATGGTGTTTTCAGGAAGATCACCGATGGATTGTAGTTTCCTCAGGAAGTCAGTGGTGTCTCGAAGATAGCTGGGAGTGCTGGTAGCGTAGGGCCTGAGGAGGGAGTCTACATAGCCAGACAATCCTGCTGTCAGGGTGCCAATGCCTGAGATGATGGGGCGCCCAGGATTTCCAGGCTTATGGATCTTGGGTAGCAGATAGAATACCCAGGTCGGGGTTCCAGGGGTGTGTCTGTGCGGATTTGATCTTGTGCTTTTTCAGGGAGTTTCTTGAGCAAATGCTGTGGTTTCTTTTGGTAACCCTCAGTGGGATCAGAGGGTAATGGCTTGTAGAAACTGGTGCTGGAGAGCTGCCGAGCAGCCTCTTGTTCATATTCCGACCTATTCATGATGACAACAGCACCTCCTTTGTCAGCCCTTTTGATTATGATGTCAGAGTTGTTTCTGAGGCTGTGGATGGCATTGTGTTCTGCACGGCTGAGGTTATGGGGCAAGTGATGTTGCTTTTCCACAATTTCAGCCCGTGCACGTCGGCGGAAGCACTCTATGTAGAAGTCCAGTCTGTTGTTTCGACCTTCAGGAGGGGTCCACCTAGAATCCTTCTTTTTGTAGCGCTGGTAGGAAGGTCTGTATGGATTAGTATGTTGTTCAGAGGTGTGTTGGAAATATGCACGGGCTGAAATTGTGGAAAAGCTCCCTGGCTCTCATCAGCACAGCAGTCTCTCCCACCCCTCGGCAGCAGCAGCCTGCTCTGCCTGCCTTCCTATGGTTCTGTGGTTCCCTCAGAGTTCTCCCACAGCCGCCTCAGCTGCAGGGAACAGCATCCTAAGCAGCTCTCTGAGCTCTCCGTGCTGAGGAATGTCAAAGCAGCACAACAGTAGTCCCCCTCACTCCCAGCTGCCTTCCCCTGTGTTCTTTGTGCAGGGGCATTCCACATTAACTCTTTGTTGCTGGAGCATAGTAGCATGCTCAGCTGTCAGATACTTCTGGGAGCTTTGAAAGGGGAGGGGCGCTTACCTGCAGGGCAGCAGAGATCAAAACACTGAGCAGAGCAGTCATGGCGGGCATTGCAGGATGCTGATGGAAACCAGTTATGTCGACAAAACAAACAGCAATGTCTATGCTGACACTTTGACGCTTTAACTTTGCCACAAAAGCTTTATGCCTCTCGTTGAGGTGGTTTTATTTCGTAGGCAAAACAAGAGTTTTGCTGCCAAAAGTAGCTTTGCAGTGTGTACACCTCCCCTGTTTTGTTCGGCAAAAGGCAGCTTTTGCCGGAAAAACTTTGTAGTGTAGACAAGGCCTTAGAGATATGTCATTAGGCCCTGCTGACTTGAAAACTTTTAACTTGTGTAAGTAATTTTGAACTTGTTCTTTCCCTATTTTAGCCTCAGATCCTACTTTCAATGGCATTCACTATGTTAGATGTCCAATCACTACTCATCTTTTTGTTGAAAACTGCACATTTAGCATTTCCACATTTTCTGTCTCTCTTCTTCCCCCCCGCCCCCCCCCCCAATTGAGTAATGGACCTCGTTGAGTAATGTCTGTGACTGCTGTAAAATGGGATAAACCATGGAAAGTTGTTTCTGATTCTGTCTTTGGTTGATTTTAATTATTTTTTTATTATTTTTAAATCCAGAGATAAATGTGGCAAGTTACCATTGTCACCCAAACAAAAGGCAATGTTTTCCAAGTGGGTGCGGCCAGATGACCTAACAAATAACCCTACAATGATCTATACTGTGTCAAGTTTCAGCATAAAGCAGGTAAGTTGTTTCTAAAATGAAATTTACACCAGCTATTCTGATAATCGCAGAATGAGTTCGGGGTCTTTTAAAGTAATGGGGTGCTCATTAAAACCTAGCAAGTAGGAGAACTTTGCTTTGCCCTCTTCTAAGACCTACATTTGTTTTCACTGTGGATCATTTGACTTTGTTACGGCTGTCAATTAATGACAGTTAATGCATGCGCTTAATGGAAAACAAATTAACTAGATAAAAAAATTAGTCATTAATTGCACTGTTAAACAATAATAGAATATCAATTTAAAATTATAAGTATTTTTGGATGTTTTTTCTACATTCTCAAAAATGTTGATTTCAGTTGCAACACAATACAAAGTGTACAGTACTCACTTTGTTATTTTGATTACAAATATTTGCACTGTAAAAAAGATAAAAGAAATAGTATTTTTCAATTCACCTCATACAAGTCCACTCAGTCCTATTTCTCGTTCAACCAATCGCTAAGACAAATAAGTTTGTTTACATTTGCAGGAGATAATGCTGCCCACTTCCTATTTACAATGTCACCTGAAAGTGAGAACAGATGTTCACATGGCACTATTGTAGCCGGCGTTGCAAGGCATTCATATGCCCCTTTATGCTTCGATTTGTAGGCTCTAAAGTTTTACATTGTTTTGTTTTTGAGAGCTGTTATAGAAAAAAAATCTACATTTGTTATTGCACTTTCACAGTAGAGATGGCACTATAGTACTCATATGAGGTGAACTGAACAATGCGACTGAAACGATGATTGATCAAGACTGTTTTTGTATCTCATGATTAATTGTAATTTTTTAAAATTGTTTGACAGCCTTACTTTATTTACTTATGAGTGTAAGAATAAACAGAGGGAAAATATAGGTAGGAATGGACTACCTATTGTACACCTCAGATCTCCATATCCAAAGGAATCTAGTTTAAACTACATTGGGCAGCCATGTATTATGAGCAGCCCATTATAGACACACATGGTATCTGCCTTCTTCAGACCTCTAAGAATCAAGAGTCATTGATCTGTTAGCTGTGGGATGCACGAGGTAAAACTGGACAAGGGGCAGAGCACTCTAGCTTCTGACATGTTAACCGTGAAAATAAAAATCTGTGTTTGGCACCATCCACGAGGGGGGGCACATACAATGGGTTTTTTGAGCAGCAGTAAGATGAATTTCAGAGCTTGCACTGTCTAGCCTGACCTAAACTGTTCTATCCTGCAACCAGCCACAAGATGGCAGGGCCCACCATTCAGCTAGCTTTAATCTCTTTCCATCTCCACTTGCTTCCATGGGTTTAAGACTAGTAGGAGTAAGGTTTGCCCTTTTGTTTCCTAACAGTAGCATATTACACACTTGCTTATTAAAACATATGTAATATTAAACTGTGTGTTTAATTTGATGTCTGTTTGGTTTTTTTTAACCCTTGCTAGGAAAATTAGTGGCAATTTAAGTTATTTTTCTTGTCTACCAAAGATATAACTTTACAATGAGGTTGGTGGAGTTTCGTAATTCGCAATTTTTGCTCTACCCATCCGAATAGCTGTGTCATTGCTCCATTTGCAATCTGAAGTCAGACAAAACTAATTGGTCCTGACAAATGATTAACCAGATTCTGTGCAGGTAAATTTAAATTTAGGCCACTTAAATGGAAACAGAAGTCAGATCACCGAGAATGGTGGAGGGTTTCTGTGGCAAAACTATATAAAATCTGTCCCAATATTAAGCCACATAGGGTCTGATCCAGAGTCCTCTGAAATCAGTGAGAGATTTTCCCATTGTTCACACTGGACATTTAGGAATCATCTGTCTCTGGTCCTCATTCAGTTAATTCCTTACTTCTGTCTCAGTTTATCAGGTTTTAGTTTTGAGGAAACTTAGGTTTCCCAACCCTTTGGGAGTACCTTTGTTATACCAATAAAATAAAAACCAGCAGGATCTTATTAAAGAGGAAAAGGCAAAATACCACATTTATTGTGAATACAGAAAGAATCATAGTAAGCAGTTAGTTATAGCTATAACATTCCATTCAATCTCATATTTATTCACACATTCATTCCTACAAACACACACACACAGGTTCTGCAAGGTTGTTATCATAGTTACCAGCCTTAGAGTTGCTCATGCCAAGCCACTGGCCAGGTGGCCTGGACATGAGGAGGGAGCAGGGCCTTGTCAGATGCTCATCTGATGCTCCTGGAAGTTGGTTTGCAGAATCAGACCCCAAAGTTCTCACTTTTTAGAGTCCATTTTTATAGGAATTTCTTCCTATGCCAGTCTATGGGAATTGCTTCATCATGCTGTTGCTGAATCAATCAGCAGATGGCACATTCCTGAGGGCTCCGTGCTGCTAGATGTTATCTTGTTCTTTGGTTCTCCCATTCTTGAGGCTGTTGGATGGATTCCAGTCTGCCCTCCGGGGGTCCTCTGGTTATTTCCGCTTGACGCCTTCTTCAGCCAATGGACACTGGATTCTTAGGCTGGCACCTCCCTGATCATTCATTTATTATCCACACCAAGCATCCATCCACATACATCCTCTATCTCTATTTTAATCACAACTGTTAATACAACAAAAGGGCGGGGAGTCTCTGGTGCTGTTTCTGTTGTTACAGAGTATTGCTTTGAGTCTCTCTCTGTGCGAATTGCTTTGAGAACAGACTCTGTCTTAGAATGTACTAACGCAATTAGCAGCTTGCAAGTTTCACGCACAGAGGGAGAGAAACAGTACCAAAAACCAAGAGACCTCTTAATTAGTAATACCCTGGAATTTAAACTATGGGGAATCAAACTCATTTGTGATTTTAATACAGAACTTCTTTAATATGATCCAACACCTTTGCCTCTCTTGGTTCAGAAATCCTTTTATTTGTTGGAAGCGCTTCTAATTGAACTTTTAACTGTTTAACCTTCACTAGTGTATTTTTTTGCTCCTAGACAATAGTATCGGATTGTTCTTTTGTGGCATCACTAGCTATCAGCGCAGCATACGAGAGACGGTACAACAAAAAGTTGATTACAAGGTAAATGGCTATTCCTGTCTAAAATCTTGTCAGTTATGCAACATGTTTAAAGCCTGTCTCTTTTTAACATTGGCTATAACAGATAGAAGGCTATATTATGGATGTGATGATTTAACATAGGTTTATGTTAAGCTTGCTTATAAACATACATAAACCTGAGATATTACATTTTGTAGAAAGTCAAAATGTAGACATTTGGTTCAAAATGTTCAAGCTTACCTGCCTAAGTGAGGGACATTTTTGTTTGGGTGCCCAAATATGAATTTAGGAGCCTATTTTCAAATAGGCTGTTTTCAAATAGGCTATTTTCAAATAGGCTGTTGATGTCACTGGAATTTTTGCTGGTCAGCACTTCTGAAAATAAACCACCTTTTTGTACATGCTGAATATGGTTTTTGGATCTTAACTTTAGACACCCACGCTTGGAAAATTTGGCCATTTGGGAGGATTTTTTATTTCACTTTTATCTTCCTTAATCATACTTCATTCGCTTGTTTTCACTCTTTACTATGCCAACTGCTGTACAATACATGCCACATTTTTACCTCTTGCTTCAGCATTGATGTTAAGTAGAATTGAGATGTTATCAACTAAAGTCCCGATCCCATGATGAACTCCACATGGGCTTAGCAGTCTGTCACATGGAGCCCATTGTGGGATCAGGACCCAAGAGGTTTTTTTGAAATTTTGTTTTAATCAAAATTAGTTTTTTAGCAGTTTTTTTCCCAAACTACTGTCATTTGTCTTTTTATTGCCTTATCCTTTGGGCAATGGTTTCTTAAAACCTTAACTTCTTCACTCATGGTCTTTGATTTGCAATGCATACAAATATTGTATGTATTCAGAAAGATGTATAACATTGCTTGAATGGTAAAGTATACAGTTGCATGCATTTATTTTATTCGATTATCAATGAATGACTAGCTGACTGAGTGAGTGACTGTAGAAAGAATGAGGTATACAGATCTTGTTCGAAATATAAATTAAACCAAGAAAATTTAGTTAAATTTCTCATGCTGTGATTTACACAGAAATTCTAGTAACTTGAGATGGTGGCATGCATTTTTAAATTCCAAAAATAGATCAAATTGATGTAATACTTTTTTAAACATCATACAGTATGTATACATACAACACATTGTTCACAGATACTTTATAATTTTTTTCTTTTTCTAATAGCATAATTTACCCTCAGAATAAAAAAGGAGAACCAGAGTATAATCCATGTGGAAAGTACATGGTGAAACTTCATATCAATGGTGTCCCTAGAAAGGTAATTAGCTTTAAAGAGTGTAGTATGATTATTGGATAAGCTAACTACCTTGAAAGTTCATTCTGTTTCATTGTGAAGGTGTGTTTTATTTCTCAGTAAGAATTCTAGATATACGTTTGTCGGAAAGCATATGCAATTATAACACCTTGCTATATTTCATTCTGGTTACATAATAATGTGTAATGTCGTATAGGTGCTTGACCCTCTAAAGATGCTGTAACACTCTGGGGTTCAACGCAGAGCAGTAAGAGGTTTTGCCACCCCCTGCCTTTTAACCCTGGGTGCTGCTGGTGTGTGCTTTGTAGCACAGTAGCCTTACCCTGAGTTTCACCAGCCTGGTTATTCCTTGGAGGGTGACATCAACACCCTTGCAAATCCAGGTTCTCCCCAAAAACATCTTTCTCTGTAGTGCTCAGCCCCTCTTACTGTGGCACCACAAGACATTATCACATTTGCTGCTCCTTTAAAGAGACAGTACTCAGCAGCTTATTCACTGGGGTTGACAAACTCTCCACTTCAATCAAAACACTGACTTGGTTTGTGGTACAAGTAAAACAAGTTTATTCCTATCTCCATTTGTTTTAAATTATGCCAAGTATAAGCAATAAGGATAGAAATAGTTTCAAACAAACAAGTAAAAATACACCTCAGACTGAAACTCAACAAACTAGAATCTTTGGTTCAAAGAAGTTTTGTCTCACCACTGTTCTTCCAGCATGCCTGGCCTGTCCTTTAGCCAGGATCCAGCATATGGAGCTCAGATTACTTGGTTTCTTTGCCTCCTTAGATGAGGGATAAATTATGGGTTCAGTAAACCTTTGAAATGTATTCTTAAGTGTATCCCCAGGTAAAGTTGCTTTCCCTTGCTGAGTGTAGACGCCCTGCTTTCTGGCATAGACACTGTGCTGACTTCACCCTCTGCTTGTGATTTTTACAGTGCAAATGATCTTTCTGCAATCTCCAATACAAATGAATAGCCCATTGTCCTTGGCCACACCTGGCTTGAGGTGGCATCTCCTTTCCTTTGTCTGGAAAAAACTGCTTATCATCTTTCCCTGGCGTGCCTGGTTTAAACACATTTTAGTTACGCATTTCCAGCACCTCGGTATATGTGTTTGTAGGTTAACCATCCATCACGCAAGAATATTAAGGGTCAGTGAGTTATTAGTTTTCCAGTGATATATTACATGATACTTCTTAAATAAATATCATGCCAACTATAGTGTGTCAGCTGTGTTGAGCAGGCTAAGCCAGCTGAGTTTTACATAGCAGGGAGCCTCTTGCCAGTTAGCATTGGGTGCTCCTAGGGTAACACATGCATGTAAGTATCCTTATTCACATGAATGAGTCCCATTGAAGTCACTGGGGCCACTCAGGAGAGTAAGGTTATGCACGTGCAAGTTTGTGGGGTTGGGCCATAAGTATGTGCTTCATTAATGGTCTATACCAATGACAGATTAGTGTCATGGTGAAGCTGAGATATTTTCTTTGTGAAGCAATTACGGACCCTTTTTGGAGTAAAAACTCACACACCGTTCTGCCTAATTTAAAACAAGAGATTTTAATCATTTCAAAACCACCACCATGTGGCTTCTTTCAAGAAAAGGCAAAACTACAAACAATCGGGAATGAAGGAACTGGAGATAACAGATGTGATGAAGTCTGAGGACCTCTTCCCTTTGGACAAATAACTAGTCATATTTCTGATTGACTGGGTGAGGGGGTTTTGTTAGACTTTTCTATACATTTAATAATAATACCTAGCTCATGTATAGACCTTTTCATCAGTAGATCTCAAAGTGCTTTTCAGAGTTGGTCAATACTAGTATCCCCATCTTACAGATAGAGAAACTGAGGCACAGAGTGAAGTGCCTTGTCCACGGTCACCCAGCCTGCTAGTGGCAGAGCTCAGACTAGGATCCAGGTCTCGCAAGTCCCAGTTCAGTGCTTTATCCACTAGGCTACACTGCTGTTATGAATTAATTGTTGTGTTTTTAAGTCAGGGAATGATGTTTAGTTTGCTCAGTCTGAAAGCAGCTATATGAAATAGAATGAGCTTCTGAGGATTTTCGTCTGTTAAGAAAAGTTTGTTTGAATTATCACTTTATGATAATTTCTGTTCGCTTCTTTTGCTCAGGTGATAATAGATGACCAGTTACCTGTAGATCACAGTGGAGAACTCCTCTGCTCTTATTCCAACAATAGAAGTGAATTGTGGGTGTCCCTGATAGAAAAAGCTTACATGAAAGTTATGGGTGGATATGATTTTCCTGGATCCAATTCTGTGAGTACGAGATTATTCTTTGCAAGAGGCAAAAATGTGCATGAGGATCATCCCATAGCACATAGCTTTCCTTTGAATGAATAGTGAAGAGATCTAAATGAATTGTTTGAGGAAAGGAATGACTTTTCTTTTTGTATGCTGCTGTCTGGGTTTATTTTTATATATTGATTTTAAAAGTTATTTTGATGATTTTAGTAAATATAAATTAAGTTGTTTTTAGCATCTCCCAGATCGCATACGTTAGAGACCATGGGCCCGATCTTGCAAATGCTTACACACGTACTTAACTGTACTCAGGAGGAATAGTCCCATCAAAAAGGGGGAACTGGATTTCAGTGAGACTGCTTGTGGGTACAGTTACACAGGGATAAGTCTTTTCAAAAATACGCCCCACACCTGCAAAGTACATGTGTTTATTTTGAGAAGTTTCATTAGGGCTCTTGTATGTTTCATAAAACCATAGTTTTATGCCTTACACTAATAACCCTTTTGGTCTCTAATGCCATTTGTATAATAAGTAAAGGAGACATTCTCCCTTATTAAGTTGAGAGATTGGCTAGGGGAGGAGCACATCAATCCTTTTATGGCTCTTATGCACATGGTGGGAATGGGCACATGTATAAGTTAGTATTATTCTATCAAATAATACTAACATACATAGTTATGTAACTTGGTATTCATATAGTAGTTTCTTTAGCAACCGCAACATTTATATAATGCTCAAGTTTAATCTGAGAAGCAAAACACTTGCAATGAGAACTGGACCTATTTTGCTGAGCCAACCAGACTGGTCTCTAATCACATGAAGAAATGCTTCCTAACGTTTGAACTCTCACAGCATATTTCTCAGTTCATACCAAGGTTCACAGCTTGATGATGTCGTGAAAACCAGACTTCATTGCTTTTTATTTTGGTTGCTCATCTTCTTTTGATCTTTTGGGTTGGTTATCGGGGAATTTCTCGTTGAGTTTGGTCTTGTGTAGAGAGTAACAATAGTGTAGATTTTTCTAAGTTTGTTCAAGTCACTACCATGACACACAATTTCAGAGAATAGGGAAGTTGTCCATGACCAGGAACAACTTGACTTCTAGCATTTTTTCAATTAAACATAGAAACTCTGGCTCTTGACAATATGTCTCCTCCTTTGCATAATCAGAGAAGCATTTCCCAATGCCTGCACCGGATGTGTTGCTCTCCAAGGCCTATCTGTCAGTACTGTCCTTAGACAAGTTGGGAGGCATTTCTTTGCGCTTTCATAGTCCTGCTTATTTGGGAGGGAATAGGAAAAAAGACCTTTTTGTTTTAAGTATTTTGGGGGGAGCGAAGCCCTGTATTATGCTTGTAAAGTGCACTACTGCTAGTTAAATTGAAATTGCTTTTATTGTTCAGGCCTTTTCACCATGTAAAGCTAGTTGTGTCTTGGAGACTGTGACGGGTTGGGTCATAGAAACCCCTTTGGGACTGCCACCTGATGTGCTGAGACTACCTCTGAGCCCATCTTACTTGGCAGCCTGGGACATCAGAACCCTGCCTTGTTGAGCCAGACACACCAGTCTGCTCCACCACAGACTCAGGGTCTGAACCACGCTCCCCAAAGCTGCAGACTTAACTGAAAACAGCTTAAGTGCTCCTGACTCTAGCACCCAGACACCTAGCTCCCAGTGGGATCCAAACCCCAAATAAATCAGTTTTACTCTGTATAAAGCTTATACAGTGTAAACTCATAAACTGTCCGCTCTCTATAATACTGAGAGAGATGCACAGCTGTTTGCTCCCCCAGGAATTAATTGCTTACTCTGGGTTAATTAATAAACAAAAGTGATTTTATTAAGTATAACAAGTAGGATTTAAGTGCTTTCAAGTAATAACAAACAAAAAGTAAGTTACCAAGCAAAATAAAACAAAAACATGCAAGTCTAAGCCTAATATATTTAAGAAACTGAATACAGGTAAATCTCACCCTCAGAGATGTTCCGATAAGCTTGTTTGACAGACTAGACTCCTTTCCAATCTGGGCCTAATCCTTTCCCCTGGTACAGTCCTTGTTCCAGCTAAGGTGGCAGGTAGGGGATTTCTCATGACTGCAGCACCCTTTATTCTGTTCCACCCACTTTTATAGCTTTGGCACAAGGCGGGAATCTTTTGTCTCTCTGGGTCCCCACCCCTCCTTCTGAATGTAAAAGCACCAGGTTTAAGATGGATTCCAGTACCAGCTGAGGTGGTCACATGTCCGGTGAGACCCCAAGCCTTCATTCTTCCCGGCCTTACTCATAGGAAGGCTTGCAAGTAAACAGAGCCATCTATAGTCAATTGTCCTGGTTAATGGGAGCCATCAAGATTCAAAACCACCATTAATGGCCCACACTTTGCATAATTACAATAGGACCTTAGAGTTATATTTTATATTTGTAGTTTCAGATACAAGAATGATACCTTTATACAAATAGGATGACCCAGTAGATTGTAAGCTTTGTAATGTAAGCTTACAAGAGACCTTTTGCATGAGTGTATTCCAGTTACATTATATTCACAATCATTAGCATATTTTCATAAAAGCATATAGAGTGCAATGTCACAGAGACAAGCTAGAGTAAAAGCTAAACTATTGAGTCTTGCCACAAAGTGCACCTTTGACAGAGGCTTGTTTTGGGAGCTCACTCTGAGAGTGCTGGGCATTTGAAACCATGAGCTTGAAACACTAATAATTGTACTTTAAAAAGATACCAGTGAACAGTTCTGGATTATCAAGCCACTTGTTCGAGAGAATCATTTTTTATGCTTAAGCACAGCCTAGTCTAATGAAAAATTGCTCTCATAAGTGTTATGAGGCTGGTGCAAAATAACTCTGTGTGTACAATATACACTAATTTTATATAAGGCATTTTAAAATACACTTAAAGGTAGCTTAATGTGTCTCTTATGACCAAATATGCTTGCATTTCAGAACATTGATCTCCATGCACTGACTGGCTGGATACCAGAGAGGATTGCTATGCACTCAGACAATCAGGCTTTCAATAAGGACAGTTCTTTCAGAATGCTCTATCAGAGGTAGACGTTTATTCTTCCTTGGTGACAGAAGATGCTTTCAGTGAAACAGATGTGTTAATGATATGAAAGTGACTAAAAATGTGATGGTCTTTGTCACTGGCTCTCAACACAAGCATTGTAGTCCTACCACATATGATCCTCTTAGCCCCTCTCTGTGCTCTCCTTTGAAATCAGCTAGAGGAATAGAGTTATTAATGGCTTTGACATCAGAGGCTAATGGAGAAACAAGGGGGCTCTGTTAATAGATGGAGAACGGGATCCCCATCTCTAGCAGAACTATAACTTTAAAAAAAGAATAGTCCCTCTTCCCTGCCAATGGTGCGGTGGGAGGGAGGAGGCAGATCTGGAGAAATGGGGAGTGGAGGTTAGAATCTTCCCATAGGCTAGATTCAGGAGGAAGCAGGAGCCAGAGAAAGGAGGATGGATTTCCCAGCTATGCAGCATGAAGCTGACTTCAAAGTGGAAACAGGTGTGGTGAGGTTGCTCTAACGGTGCCACCAGAGTCCTTACTAACTGTGCCCAAGCAACAGATCTCCTGTGGAGGAGCACAGAGGTGCTCTGTACCTGTCAGGACCATGATACTAACCCGGGACTTAGTGTATCAATCCTACTGTTGTGATAAGTGTGGCCTAGTTATGTTTTCCAGCTGCAGGCGTTGTTCCTTTTTCCCCCTCCCCAAATTGAGAAAATTTAGCCAACCACTTTCTCCTCATTGTCAAGAAATGCAGAGCACCAACATGATGGGAAAGGATCTCAGCTTGGCCAAAGCATTAAAACAAGCAAACACTGTACACCTGACACAAAACCTCACATTTTCTTCAGTAGATTTGTGACCTCCCGGTATGTTGACAGTCACTCTTACAATCTGTTTCTCTGTATTTAGGCATGGGGGGCTAAATTCTCAGACACTACAGATCTACACTGACATTAAACCAGCATTTGTGCACACAAACTGATGTAGGAATATGGAAGCATGTACTTTTCACCCTCTGGTTCTTAGAAAATTTGTCCCCAAGATCATAAGTGCAGAGATGTATGAATTTCAGTTTGATGTATATAGCAATTGACTAGCATCAAAGGATCGTACAATGTGTTAGGTAGAAGATTTATTTCACTGAGTATCTTTAATAAGTGACATTGTCAGTGTAAGACTGAATCTGACACGTTGTTTTTATGACAACAGTAATTTTCCTACTAGAGCCTGATCTTAAATATTGAAAAGTAACGATTATACCTTCTTTTATTGAGCTTGTACAAATAATTTGTCTCCTTCAGAAAAGATTACTTACACTCCAGGTTTGCAAAGTTGGGTCTTAACAATACAACAATTTGGAAGAAGAGAGTTTAGTGTTCGATAAATATAATATTGTTACACTGGTCATTTTACATGTGCTAATAACCTAAACTAAGCTTCCTTAATTTCCCCCTCAGATTTCACAAAGGCGATGTCCTTATCACAACAGCAACCGGAGTGATGTCTGAAGAGGAAGGAGAGAAATGGGGTTTAGTTCCAACCCATGCATATGCTGTTTTGGATATTAGAGAATATAAGGTATCCAGTAAAACAAGAAGCTTTGTACTGGGTGCTTTTTACTTACCTGTCATCAATTGTAATAGATGGTGGATTTAAACATGACTGTCCAGTGACAGTGGAGTTTTGCTCAAAGAAGGGGCTTGAAATCTTTATCTTGCTCAAGAGCTTTATCAAGTTATTCCAAAAAACTTAATAACACTGTATTTTCTTAAGTGTTTAGTTTGTGTACCTAGTAGGTAAGATGCATCCGATGAAGTGAGCTGTAGCTCATGAAAGCTCATGCTCAAATAAATTGGTTAGTCTCTAAGGTGCCACAAGTACTCCTTTTCTTTTTGCGAATACAGACTAACACGGCTGTTACTCTGAAACTAGTAGGTAAGATTAACAATATGTTCACTCTTATCTTGACAAGATAACCAGATGATTTTTTTTAATTTACTGTTTCTCTAGGGGCTTCGATTCCTCCAGTTGAAAAATCCCTGGAGTCACTTACGCTGGAAAGGAAGATACAGTGAAAATGATGTGAAAAATTGGACCCCAGGCCTACAAAAATACTTAAACTTTGATCCAAGAACAGCTCAAAAAATAGACAATGGTAAAATGAATTAAAAGGATGGTGTCAAGTCAAAAAGAATCATACTTCTCTTTGACTGGGTTTTTTTTTTTGTTTGTTTACTTTTGTTACAAGTAACATTTGAAGATACTATCACTAGAAGATTAGGAAAAAAGATCTTATGTCAATTTGAGTAATTGAGAGCAAGTATGTGGAGGGGGGTCAGTTTCCTTGTTTTTGTGGGTCATTCACACAGCAATAGGGGGAGGACAGTAAACAAGTCTAAAGTAACAAAAAAATGGCAAAGGCAGGGAAGAAGTACCTGATATTACTTTAAACTTATGTTTCAAAATTGACTAGATTTCAAGTAGAGTGGGTCATTTCATATATTTTAAATTTAAGAGGTTATTTCTTAGTATTCGCTTCTATTTTTCTTTTTTTAATCATGTGTTTTTTGCCATCCTTAATACTTCAGAACACATACTGAGAAACCTCATAATACCGTTTACTAGTACATGAGTGGACTCTTCAGTACTTCATTAGCTGTTTTCCTTGCATTCAGAAATACACGTTCATATGCTCCTTGTAAGGAATGTTTTATTTCCTTACACCGAAGAGATCCATGATGTCTGTACTGGAGACTTCAAAATTTTCTCCCTGTGCTACACTTTAATGTACACGAGTCTTTAGTTGCATGCACTTGTTGACTGGATGACTATAAGTGGCTGAGATATTTCTTTGAGCGCAAGAGGATTACTACATAATTATGTAGAGAGATTGGTTGAGCAATACCAGGCCTGTCTTGTTGCTCCATCATCCCCCAGGAAGAACTAATGTACTGTATCAGGGAAATCAGCAAGGGCTTCCCATGTGGCAAGGCAAAATGCTACCACTCGATCAGCCAGTTTCCAAATGCTACAATAGCTGCTCCACTTTGGAAATACAATGTAGTTTTTTTTTTCCCTTTATGCTAACAGTTGTCTCTTGTCTCCCCACTGTAATTAATTAACCTTTTTTTAGTCTGGTGTCATATTGTTTACAAAATGATGGACACAGAGGCACTGAGATTCCATGTTGAGTGTGGTGTAAATAGCTAGGTGGAAAAACGTTATTTATTAGCAGAAAGTAATTCCATCCTGACTCTGGCTTCACTTGACAGTACTTGGATTTAAATCCCTTGGTTCTGAAGTACATTTGTAAAGATGTTACTTTTTATGATTGGATTGGTATCTGACTAGTCTTGGTATCAAAATGTACAGTTCCAATGGCTGGATGTTCTTTGTACTGTAAGTCTGAAATAATCTGTATTAGCAGCTTGTGTTACAGTGCTGTGATCATATGGAGAGTTCAAGGAGCAGGATTTTAGTAGTAGTAGCTTTGGCTGTGGTTGCAGTTGGGTACGCTGGGGAGAGGATAATTATTGCAAGTGACTGTTGTAAAGATAAAGCAAATTCCAGTGTGCGAGAGCGCACCCAAATGAATGTTAAGTGGAATGCTAGGGAAAGATCTCAAACAATGCCATGCGTACTTTCCTTTCAGAGTAAGAGCTTGTTCTGCTGGACAAGTGATGTCCCCTCTCTGATGGACTTTCAGTTAAATAGGTAGAAAACAGTGAGCTAGATGGCCTAAACTGGAGGTTACCTATTAATTGTATCTAATTTTTCAGAATCCTAAGAAAGTAGGGGGCAGCACAGAAGTGATTAACATTGCCACTCTTAGGAGGGCACAAGGATTACAGCTTTTGCTCATCACTTAAAAATACAAAATATTCTTTCTGCTGAGGAAAAGCAAAGGCAGCCTAACCGATCAGCAGAGACAGTGACCAGATGGTGACTCAGAGGTCAACTTCAGTCTCTCTTGGTTTACCAAACTGGCCTGTTTTGGAGGTTGTTTTTAGATAGGGAAGGTGAACAGCATGGACACTTGTATTCAGGTTTACGAGAATGAATTTTATACAAACCTTGGAGCTTGTGTTTAATTAGGGTCCTGCAAAATGCGTAGAGCAAAGATATTTTACAAGCAAACAATGAAAAATGTGTTTCCTTTATAGGGATTTTCTGGATTGCCTGGGAGGATCTTTGCCAGTATTATGATGTTATTTATTTGAGCTGGAACCCAAGTCTTTTTAAAGAATCAACATGTATTCACAGGTTGGTCCAACAGAAAAGATTGAAATGTTAAGATCTACAACATAGTCAAATATATGTATATATTTTAGTAAATATTAATTTGAAGTTTAAAACAACAATATTGATGTGGCATTTTCCTTCTCTCCATTCTCCTCATCAGTGTGCAATTTATGAGCATTGGCTGGAGACCAGTCTCTTCATTCAGAGCCTGACATCCCACTTTAAAAACCATGGTCCAGATTCTGTTCTTCATTGCACTCACATAAATGCAGTGTAACTCCACTGACCTCAGTACCAACTGCTGAGCGGTTGGACTTGCTGTAGCCTTCTGCATCTTCCATCCACGTTTTCCCTGAATACAGTAACCCCTCACTTAATGTCATCCCAGTTAATGTTGTTTTGTTGTTACGTTGCTGATCGATTAGAGAACATGCTCGTTTAAAGTTGTGCAATGCTCCATTATAACGTTTCAGAGTAACAGCCGTGTTAGTCTGTATTCGCAAAAAGAAAAGGAGTACTTGTGGCACCTTAGAGACTAACCAATTTATTTGAGCATGAGCTTTCGTGAGCTACAGTTCACTTCATCGGTGAGCTGTAGCTCACGAAAGCTCATGCTCAAATAAATTGGTTAGTCTCTAAGGTGCCACAAGTATTCATTATAACGTTGTGTGGCAGCCGCCTGCTTTGTCCTCGGCTTGCAAAAATAGCAGCCCGTTGCAGCTAGTTGGTGGGGGCTTGGAACCAGGGTGGACCGGCAGCCCCCCATCAGTTCCCCTAAGTTCTCTGTGCAGCAGCTGCCCATCAGGCTATCAATTGCCGGCAGTTCAGCTGTCCCTCCCCCCACTGCCATGGCCTGCGCCTGTCCTCTGCCTTGGAGCTGCTCCTGGGAGCCTCCTGCTTGCTGTGCAGGGGGCAGAAAGAGGGGTGCTAATGTCAGGGTGTCCCCCTCCCCCTGACCCCATCTCCGCAGAGTGTGTGTGTGGGGGGGGGGGGGCAGGCGGGCAGGCGGCAAAACATGTCAGGGCTCAGGACGGAGGGAGCTTGCTGGCAGCAGCTGCTGTTTCAACTTGCTAATCTACTTAAAAAGGCAGTGTACTTAGAGTGGCATCAGCATCCTTAAAGGGAAAACACACGTCTGTCTGTCCACACTCACACTCTCTCTCTCTTTTCTCCTCCCTCCCTCCCCCCCCCCCCCCATGCTGTCTTCCCTCCCTCCATTCATGCTGCCTTGTGGAGTGTGAGGCCAAATTAACAACAATGTGTTAACCCTTGAGGGCTCAGCCGAGTGCTAGTTCATCATTTAACAGTCAGGCATCCCCTGGGAAATATCCCACCCTCTGACTTCACCACCTCAACCAAGCTTCACAATCATCCTTGCTGTGTAGGGTATTAAATTGTTTAAAACTTACAGTGTGTATATCTTTTGTCCAGCTAAAAAAATTTGCCTGGAACTTACCCACCCCATTTACATTAACTCTTATGGAGAAATTGGATTCACTTCACATCATTTCGATTAAAGTAGCATTTTTCAAGAACATAAATAGAACATTAAGCGAGGAGTTAATGTAGTCTGCTGAGGGTGCTTGAAGAATAGGGCAGTTACTTTTACTTATCCCATGTTCCTGGGATGTTAGTATGTAGCTTGTGCAATGAATGCAGTCTCTCCCAGATAAATTAAGAATATTTGCACTTTTAAAAAATCACTGAAATTATTAACTTGGGATGGAGTCATCCCATGACCCTAGCCATAACTCTGCATTTCAGCATTCACTGTCATAAGTCATCTTCCTTTTCCATTGATTTGATCACCTCACCCCCCGCCTAAATCCCTCCGGTGGCTCCCCATCCTCTGTCACATCAAATTCTGGCTTCCTGTCACTCCCTTCTAAGCTGTGTGTAACTCTGTCACTCCTCACTGCTCTGAACTCCTTTCACTTTGTGTTGCCACCTCCCCTTTTGCCAGTGTTCTCACCCTGTTGTCCCATGTATCAGATTTACACAAACCTCTTCATGCCGCCTTCTGTGCCACTCGGTGTGCATGGTACAACTTTTGCAAAGGCTCTTGCTGTATCCACATTTAATTCAGTCTTGAAGACCCACTTCTACTGTGCTGCCTACAGCAAGACTCTTTAATGTGTATATTAAGTAAAAAAGAAAGGAAAAACATTGTTTCCAATTTCCCAAGTGTCTGGCTGTCCTTCTATTGTTGGGGACTGTTCCTTCTCTGTCAGGAAAGCACCTGGCACGTAGTGGCCATTACCATAAAGGTGTAACAGTAATAATTGGGACTTGCTAGTTCATAATGCAGCATTCCATGGATCACATCTGAGTAAAATGGAAAATTCTAGACAAGAAAAGAGCCTGCATCCCCATGTTCATCCGTACAGTGTTCTAGGCTTTTTAGTGAAGCATTAATCCCCTTCTGTTGTTTTTCACATCAAGCATCCTCCTCCAGGCAACACACAAGGTGGTGTGAAAGCTTTGAAATTATGATTCAAACTGCTGCTGGTCCAAAGGTGGAGCTGCTAATTAAAACTAAAAAGTCCCCTCTGTGTATAAAAGGGGAAGAGACCAATGTGTGTAGGTTTTGGATCTAACCATATTTTAATAGCTTTTAAACAGTCCTACAATTACAGAAAGTACAGGTTCCCTTCCACATGCCAGCTTTTATGCCATACATGGCAATAACTCATTACCCCGTGGGTGTGAATAAATCATGGTTTTAGCTTTTATAGTGTGTTCTGCATGGGTGTCTTATTCACAGCGCTGTTCCGATTCAGTGTTTGTACTGCAGTACAGCCATCTGTAAAAGAAAGTGTTAGGGATAGTGTTTCTCACATAGCTGTGCTTTGTAACCATTGTCATGCTTATGGCTAGAAGTTATGCAGGTTTCAGTGGGAAATCATTTAGCTTTTGTTACTTACTACTCAAGGAAAACTATCACTTCTGTGCAGGATTTGCAGTTACTTGTAGAAATATGAATTAGTATCTTATTCATCAACTTCTTATTACTTTTAGTACTTGGGATGCAAAACAAGGCCCAGTGAAAGATGCTTACAGCCTGGCTAATAATCCACAGTACAGACTGGAAGTACAGTGTCCACAAGGTGGAGCTGCTGTCTGGGTTCTGCTCAGCAGACACATTACAGACAAGGTATTAAATTATTCTTCTGATTGATATAATACTATTTTTCCTGCAGATTTATTATAATTGAGAATATAGTCAGATCTGGATACAAGATTGTCTGTCTGATTCTCTAGATCCTAGTGATCCTCACTGTCTTTTTCAACTGCAGAAGTAGTGGGGAATTCAGATCATGGTACATAAGTGTATGTCATACAGCTTCTGTTCTGCCCTAATCATGGTGTTTAATTAGTTCATTATGGTAAGATGTATGTAATCTCTCTAACAGTTTTTTTTATTCATATATTTTAAATAAACTTGTCGTGAAATTACTTCTCCTCCTCCAAGCTGTCACGCTGTAGTGTAGACGTGTTACAGCTATAGAAGGATTTTTTCCATCATTAGTAAATCCATCCCTAATCAGGCGTAAGAGCAATATGCTAGAGGCCTGATCTGTTCTCAATGAAGTCCTTGGCAAATTCTTTACTGGCTTCCGTGGGAGCTGGAATAGGCACCTCAGTAAATATAAATGCCAAATCAAGCTACGTTTTTAATAAAAAAGCAGCAATGGAATATGAATTTGAATTACACAATGCATTAGTAGTAGTTTTGGATCTGTGTTCTACTCATTTTAATAATATTTTTTTAGGATGACTTCGCGCGCAATCGGGAATTCATCACAATGGTCGTGTACAAGACTGATGGGAAAAAAGTTTACTATCCAAGTACGTGTGTTTTTTAGATGTCAAACTGATGCTCACGAGTGGATGAAGACTTGCTAATTTTTTTAAGAAGCTGGTTAGAGTCATTCATGAATGGGAAACCCCAAGTCTGAAGGGGGGAGGAGGACTCAGACTTCAGTGTGGTCAGTTGCAGCTTTGATTGACCAACCAATAAAGTCTCAATGTATACTTTGGCCTACTTCCATTGTGGAGAGACCTAAGGGGCTCAGTCCTGCCCTCAGATATACAGAAATCCATTGCCACTTAAACAGGCACCGTTTTTATATCTATTTCTCTTGTAAAACCAGCTGCTGTGCCTGCACAGACAGAGGGTAGTGAATGTTAAAAGGGAGGTGACAATGTGCTCCTGATTATCTAAAGGCACAATCATTCCCTACTTTTGTGGAATAAAAAACTGCAAAAAGTAGAACTTTTTTTTATGGCTATTTGCATTGAGTGGAAGCTGTGGGTGCTCAGCACCGGCTGATAAATGCCTTTTATTTAAAGATCCAGTTCAGCAAAGCACTTAAATCTATACCTAAGGATGTACTTAGAGATAGGCACATGTTTCAGTGCTTTACTGAGTTAAGGGTGAAGTGTTTAACTATCGATTTTCATTGTCTAACTTTACCCCCCCAAAATTGAATGCCTTGGCCCTGGTCACTATGGGCTAAATCCTGCTTGCGTTGAAGTCAATGGGACTGTAAGCCTTTGTCTTCATTGCAGTAATAGGTGAGGTTTCTGTATCAAGATAGCTAACTAAAATCCTAGAGCCCATGATATGGCAAGTCAAGGTCAAACCCAGGTGGGAGGGTATAAAGTTGATCTTGATTTGCTTCTTCAAGATAGAAACTACCTGTGCCTCATCTCCACTGACCTCAAGCTAGTGATCTCAATGTACAAACCTCACCTCTTGTTGCAGTGAAAACAATCCAAGCAATCAGGACTAAGCCCATTGTTGGTTACAGCCAGGCAGCTCCCTGCGTAAAACTGGGTTTGAGGTTGGGTTGCTGGTGGCTCTTCATGCCCTTTAGGGGAAAGGTTAATTATACTTATACACTACCTTTTTGGTTTTATTGCAGCAGTTGTTAATAAGGGCTGAGCCCATCATCTGCCAGCTTGTTCAGTGAACTCTGCCAATGAGTTCCTCTTTGATTCCAGGCTGTGTTTCTGCAGTGAAGGCCCTTTGGGACCTAGGCAGATAGTCATCCATTTTTGCAAGAGCTGATCTCATTAAAACTGTTTGTGTTCCTTCCTGCTGTATCAGAGACATGCTTCTGGTGTGACTAGCAGCAGCACTTGCATGGCGCGTTAGACCAAAAATATTCTCACCTAGTGTCAGTGCATTTGTACAGTGGAGGAACTGAAGGTTTCATCTGTGTCTGAAAGATCATGAGCGATCTTCCAAAGAGGCTGTTTGACCTCTTACTTTCAACACATGATCTATCCAGTTTTTGTTTTATGGCCCAGTTTTTTTAATGGAGCTTTCAAACTGACAGATTCATCAAACTGCTTTAAAACACTCTTTCCGCTGAAACTGGGAATTGCAACAGATTTGTAAAGCTGCAATATTATTTCACCCGTCTGTTAAAATACAGTTTAATCCTTTGGCATGGAGAGGTGGATTTCCCAATGCTAAGCTTCAATTTGTTTTCTATTAATCCCTTCCCCCCCCACCCCCCCACCCATTAAAAAGAACAGAGTCCCTTGTCAGGAGAATGAAGGGCCTGATCCTGGACCTATTGAAGTTAGTGACTAGATTCCCAGTGATTTCAGTGGAACAGAAACAATCCTGAAAAGAACCAAGATCCCTGTAAGAGGCTGAATATTCCTGAAAGGTTCTTAAGCATTATCTGTCAGATTATGTCACTGTATTATGTCACTATAGTAAAGCAAACATTTAGACTGCAGCTATGTGGGTTGATAGTGGAATGCAGTCTACAGTTGCAAAATTAGAAATGTACTGTGTCCTCTCTTCTAGGAGAGTGGGGGTAGAGTGAAAAGGGGAATTGAAAAAGAGAAAATATAGCATGTTAGGAAGCTTCACCCTTAAAACCTTTGGACACTTCCACAGCCCAGATCCTGTCTCTTTATTCCTGAACTTGTCTTGCCAGCCCAGCAGGGAGCCTCCATAAGGAATTCATCACAGGAAAAAGTTTGAGAGGGTCTCTTCCCCTCAAATATATTTTAATTTAAGATTCTGGGTCTTATTTAAAATGTCTACTTAAAATCACAATAGAACTCTCTCTAGAGTAGAGATATTGGGCCTGATCCACTCCCATTGAAGTCACTGGAAGTTGGATGAGGCCTATGATGCAAGAAAAGGGCATTAGGTTGCATTTCCCAGTGCATCCTGAAAAGGCATCTATGGCACAATGAGTGGATGCCATATCATACCCAATTCCCAAACACTGGTTGGAGTTGCTCTTGAAAGCCTTTTGAGTGTTTCATTAGTGAAAGTTGAAGATATTATTTTTACCATTAGCTAGTCTGAATGTAGCTTGTATTCTTGAGTCACCAGCTTGGTGCCAGCAGAATGACTTTCCTAGCATAAAGCCCAGTGATGAGACAGAATGGATAGAGATTTTCACCAGTGCTGGGGTTTTTTTGGTGGTGAGGAAACATGCATCTCTTTCTTTCCAGCTGATCCTGCCCCATATATTGATGGGATTCGTATCAACAGTCCCCACTATCTGACCAAGATAGCGCTGACATCTCCAGGGTCCCATACGTTTACACTGGTGGTGTCCCAGTATGAGAAACAGAACACGATCCACTATACTCTCAGGGTATGTACTATAGAGAAACTACAATCATATTATAAGTGGAGTATTTCAATTCATTGGGAAAACATAGCAAAGAGAAAATCCTCCCCATTGGTAAGAGTGATGGGAAGTGTCTGTTGATCCTGGGGACCATTTTTAAGTTGATTGCCCTATATTTCAAAGTATTTATTTTTAGATGAATATAGTTGTGTTTTTGGAAGGGCTCGGGGGAAGATGTGAATCATGGATGGGACGCTCTGGAGAAAGGGAAGCACTGTGTAGGTAAGTGCTTTGGTGCATGTCTGTAGAGCAGCTAGGAGGTGAGATTCCCAGCTCAGACAGACACACTAGCTCAGCTTGAGGTAAGGTGCTAAAAATAGCAGAGTGGCCATGATGGCACAGGCAGCAACTCAGGCTAGCTGCCCACGAACATACCCAGGGGTCAGGTAGGACTATATGCAGGTGGCTAACCTGGGCCACTGCCAACCCTTCTGGCCACGCTGCTATTTTTAACATGTTAGCTGAGCTATAGTGTGTATGTCTTCCTGAGCTGGGAATCATACCTCCAGCTGCTGTGTAGACATACCCATATATGGATCTCCATCTAGTGAGGGCAATATAGAGTCAGTTCTTGCATGCAGTGCTTTGTTACATTACCACAGTCCAGAACCTCTCTCGATCATAATTTTATAATAGGACTAGGTTAAAAAGATGAAAGTATTTGTTTTATTTCCCTCAGCTAAAATTGAACATCTGCTTCCAGGTGCTCTAGCCCTAGCTCATCATTGCACTACCCAGCCTTCATCCACTTCATATTTCACTAAAGATGGTTTAAAGTATTTTCTTCCCTAAATCCTCACATACATAGTAATCGGAATGAAAGGTCATCGTGTAACTGACAAATCCCATGCTAATGTGCTTGCATTTCCTTTGCCACTACAGAAAATAAGACCATTCATACCCTCTCCCCCTACATTCTTTACACTACAGAAACGTGACACTGCATTGGATGCAGTTCAATCGTGCTTGCCCCAGTGCACCTCTGGCCTACTGGATTTCACTGCAGGCCACTTTGACAAGCACTGGTGGAAACGGAGGACTCCACTGCTGCTGTTTTGCACCTGTGTTGAGCTCTGCATTTAAAATGACTGCTCACAAACAATGAGAAATGAGCTGCGTTCTCAACAAAAGAATTGTGAGAAGGACATAGTTCAGAGCAAACAACTGCCCCTTATTTCACTACTCAAATATTAGTCTCAATCCCCACCCAAAAGCATTCTGGGGGAAGGGAGGGCAGTGGAGGATAATAGTTGGAGCCCAAGCACTGTAGCCCAGGTCACCCTATGGTGACTTTACATTTCAAATACACAAACTTTGACAGGCATGTTATTCTGGGTGGTATCTGCTGCTTCCCAGTACTCACTGGGCAGAAAGTGTTTCTGGTTCTCATTTAATGTCACCAGCCTTTTCCTGTCCATACATGATCTGCTTGGTGTCCCTCTGCTCTGCACACTAAACACATTGAGTGGCTAGCTGGAGCTTTAGGGGAGCATGCACTGTGCTATACTGTGTTAAGTATCAGAGAGCATATTAAAGCACCGCTGTAGGTGTTCACAGTTTGCTTTGGTGAAGGGACTAGGGCTTAATAGTTGAAAGGGAAGGAGTACGGGTGCCCATGATTCCGGTTATACTCTGTGCCCTCCAACCATTAGTAAGGTTTGAAGGGTCTGTTTTTTTTTCCCCAGTACAAGGAAGAGGAATAGGGAATGTTCTCCACTATATATTGACCGCTATAGCTGATGTCTGATGTCCGTCTGCATGTTTTACCTATCAGAGACAGATGGGGACTCGAAATCTCCAAAGTTGCTGTGCACATAAAGCCACTTTTTCCCCATAATGATATTCGGTCATGGCTTCACACTGTACGTGCTTGGTTGGTTTGTGTGACTGAATTCTTCTTGCACAATCTAGGTGTATTCAGTGTGCAAGTTTACCTTTACCAAGATCCCTACCCCATACACCATCTCCAGACGGGTAAGAAATTGGATTTTCTTCCATAAATCAGTGCTTGTTGTTAATCTGCTATGGGCGTGTGGAATTCTGTCTCTGGGGTTGTTTTATATAATTTTGTATTAGTTAATTTCAAATTATTTTGTTTGGTATTTTCCATGCAAAATGAGCCTCTTGATGAAACACAAATGTATGCTTTGACTTAGAATGTCTGTATTGTGAATCCTCTACAGTAGTGTGATTGGAATAACTTGTGAGCTTCATTTTTTATCTATATCCAGAAACTCTTGCTCTTTTTGGGTTGTTAGGACTAGAAGGTAGTGGCCTGAATATGATCAAGGAAAATATAGATACTGAATTGTTTAATCCAAATGAGAAGGGGTCTGAGGCTTTGATCTAAATAGCTTTAATATTTGTTGAAGTGGAAGGCACTATGTAAAAAAAATTGAATTTTTTCTAAACACTGAAAATAATTCTGATCTTATCTATGCTGCTATAAATCAGGAGTAACTATTGAAATTAATGGAGTTACACAAGTAGTCAACTGAAATGAGAAGAATCCAGGACTTCACTTTTTTATTTCTCTGTATTGAAACTAGAGAGAGAAAGCAAGATCTGCCTGAAATAAAAAGGCACCATCTGTTTTGTTTCTTGTCAGGTTAATGGTCAGTGGAAAGGTCATAGTGCTGGAGGCTGTGGAAACTTCAGAGATTCCTACAAAAACAACCCCATTTACCAATTTCAGCTGGAGAAGACTGGGCCACTGCTAATTGAACTAAGAGGACCAAGGTTTGTGAAGAATAAATGCTGTGTATCAGTACAGTTAGAACATGAGATATAGATCAAGTGTAAGCTTTTTTTTTAACTTAACCTGTCAGAACAAACTTTAGCTTTAAAGGCCACTTAATTTCCAGCTGAACCAATCCTTATTACTGGGTTTCCCCCTCATTCTATTTCTCAAGCAGCTTCCACTCTCCACCCAGCTGTTAAACAGTGAATCATTTTTTCTCTTGAAAATCTTTCCCTCTTGAATTCTCCCTATATGCCAGAATCCCCTTTCTATCTGCTGGTTAGGGGTCAGACCACAGCTGGGCCTTGCATGGCACAGGGGGCCTTCCTTGCCCTGGCATGGCCCTTAGGATGGCTAGCCATGCCTGTGGCCCTTTCACCCCTGCAGTAGTCAACATGCAGGAGGACTTCCTCTTACCCCTGCAGGTGTGACAAAAGACATGCTCTCTCGGGATGGCAGGCTACAGCTCACGTTCTGTTTGTGCTCTAAGGCTGTGCCAGTCCACACTGTCACCACCACTGAGCTGCATGCATTGAGGGAGGCATGTATGTAGCACCTAGAGCACCATTCATCCTGAAAGCTGCACGGAGCGTTTGCCCATCACTGAAATGCACTCTGCTCTGAGGTAGCACGTGGTAATTGTGCATCCCCCGTATTGCATCTACTTCCTAAGAACAACTTCTGCTGTTAAAACTGTAGGAGGAATTTGGGAAGGCAGATTATAATATAGACACTGAGGCTACAACCCTTACAACCAATGCAATTCCAGTGACTCTTCATGGTCATGTTATGACCTCTCCCATCAGAAGGCCGGTGTTCATGTCTTCACTCAGTAACAGGTGAAGCAGTGAGTGGCAAGCCGCCTGGCCCCCACTGTCACTTTCTAGCAGAGCCCCAGTAGCAGGCACCTATGCATGCTTCCTAACTGACACTAGAGGGTCCGTGTCTGGTCACTGAACAGTATTATAAGGAGGAGACAGGTAGGTAGGTGTTAGTTTTGGCAAAGCACTCATTCATATTGCTTCAAGGTACATAAGCAACACTTGTCTCTCCAAAAATGAGGATCTGTAGAAGCAGTTTCATGTAGGCAAGACTCGGTTAGTTACTTGTCACAAGCCTGCTGCAGCAGTAACTTGGCACTTTCCTTATGGCGCCCCTGCTCCTTGAGATTTGGATTCCAGGTTGAAGGGGAAGAGGCATGCACCTCCTCTGATGAGTAGAGCCAACTTGTCCTCAGTTAGAGATGCAACTTGGGGAAAATTCCATGGAAGTCAATGAAATCTGGACACATGTAACTTAATTTGTTCTGTGGTCTCGACTATTCATTCAGCACATGCACTGATCTATACAACCACAAGCATAACCCCCTTCGTGTAGTGGATGTGTGCAGCCTAACTGGCATCTCCCACCTATTTCAGTTCTTGGACGGAAAGCTTTTTTGCAGCCAAATATTAAATTTGTGTCTGAGTTTCTGAATGCAAGTGCTGACAAGTGTACTTAAGTGGCAAAAATAATGCTCTAATTAAGAACAGAAATAACTTGCAGATGTGCTAGTTGCTTGCAGTTGTCTTCCAGTTATAGCTCAACTTTAATTTGGTAAATCTTCTATTTGACATTTAAAGTAAGGGTAATGAAACCTGTCTTTACATGTAGGCAGTACAGTGTGGGGTTTGAACTTGTCACAGTCTCTACAGTAGGAGATCCTGGTCCCTCTGGCTTTCAGAAGAAGAGCAGTGGTGACTACAGGTAATGCTCATTTGATTATCGATACACTTTTCCTTTCTCCCTTAAATACACCTTATTAAGCTGGCATTGTATTTTTTTAATCAGATGTGGATTTTGCTACATAGAGGTGGAGAATGTACCAGCTGGAGTTTACAATATTATTCCCAGCACGTTCCTGCCTCAGCAAGAGGGTCCTTTCTTCTTGGACTTTAATAGCGCTACCCCTCTTAAGACATCACAACTGCAATGAGGTGGCAAGTCTCTACATTACTCTCTAGGGAAGAAGTCAAGAGCTAGAGCAATGCCATCTCCTGAAAACACTGGGGAAATATATCCCCCAACCATTGACACAAGATGCATAAAACTGCACTCTACCTGGAAAAAGTAATAGCCCAAGGCTTGGGCCACCAATCTCACTGCATTAGCCACTTCAGCGTTTACTCATGCTTTTTGCTGTGCAGCCATTAGGGTGAGAGAACGCTTCAGAACCATTGATGGTAAATTTTTGCGTGAAATGTTTGAATGTAAATCTTATTAATCAATAGCAGGCCTTAGCTTACTGCAGTTTGGCACCTTATACCTCATCAAGTTTTGAATTCTTTCCTCTCCCCCCACACAGGGTAGCTTAGTTCTAACAATCATTGCTTAACTTTTACAGTAAACATTGTAGAGAAAAAGGAAGGGGGCTGTGTGCGTCTAGAGCAGGGGTTCTCAAACTGGGGGTTGGGACCCCTTGGGGGGCATGAGGCTATTACATGGGGGGTCATGAGCTGTCAGCCTCCACCCCAAACCCTGCTTTGCCTCCAGCATTTATAATGGTGTTAAAGTGTTTTTACTTTAAGGGGGGGAGAGGGGTGTCACACACAGAGGCTTGCTATGTGAAAGAGGGCACTAGTACAAACGTTTGAGAACCACTGATTTAGAGCCCACAGAAATAATGAAGTAAAAGGCAGCGGGTGCTGTTCTGGATGTTTAAAAAGCACAGTTGTTTATACTGCCCCTTACTCGGATGGTTTTAGGGGGAGAAAGTCAAGTTGTACTCTGATAAGAGCCACTAATAGGGAGCACACTGTACAAGCAATACAACACTCCCGTATTCTGCTTCAGCGGTTGAATAGGTTAGCCAGAGGAGCTGTTGATCAGCTTTAACAAGAAGTTGTCATTTAAATACTAGCTATTTAACTATCCTTTCTGCATGAGCAGGGCTGTGTGGAGTTAGGATGGGAGAGATAAGAGGCTACTCCCTTTTCTATAATAAACCACACATCTGCAGCACTGGCTTTACACCACCACAGACAGAAGACTGCTTAAGACAGCCTTCAGTTAAAGAAGGAACCTTCTTAAGCTGTAACCAGCCAGGAGACCCTATATCTGCAGCTAGGGGTACCAACTGTCCAGGAATTAATTTTTAATTAAAGGTTGTCATGTGATGAAACCTCCAGAAATACATCCAGCTGAAATTGGCAATCCTAGCTACCTACAGCCTTTGACCGTACTTCCACTGGAATCAATGGTAAAACATTGACATTGTGGGGAGCAAGACTCAAAACAACCAATCAAACCCACCAGCAACTTTGGGTTGTTTTTCCCCAAGACAGCACCAGTGCATGAGTTTGGAGAGATTAAGCAGTAAGATTCTCCCCCATTAAAGTTCGCTGCTGCAAATGCATCTAGCACCTTAATAGGCCAGGGATACTTTGCTTGTTTGGTCTCCTCTGGTTAGACAGCAGCTTTGAGGAGAAAGTAGTTTTGGAAAAAAACATTAAGATGTGCCTTTTAATTGCAGTTTTCTGAAAGACTATCTGGGTTAGGCATTACATCACACTGCATCCATGCCAGTAACTAAGTCACTGCTTATCTTCTTGGCAAGGAAGTTGTAAGATAAAAAGTTGTACTGTAGGACAGAACCATTGATTTAAGAGCTGTCCAGTTGCAGATGGTGGGGAGAGGAGGGAGAGAGTGTGAGGAAGTAGCCTATTATGTTCAACTGCAGGAAGTTGATCTTTATGGGCTCTGCAAGATGGACTCTGCCAGCTTGAAGGATGGCTCTTTAGATGCAAAGCTGAATGTCCCATTTAAAACATGTTGTAGGGTAAGGTTTCAGCCCTTCTTGTGCACATACAACTTCGTATGTGCAAAGGACTGCAGCTACAGTTTAGGTCACTTACTCCATTTACAGCAGAGGCAGGCAAACTACAGCCCGGGGGCCACATCCAGCCATTCAGACATTTTAATCTGGCCCTCATGCTCCTGCTGGGGAGCAGGGTCTGGGGCTTGCGCAGCTCCTGGAAGCAATGGCTTTGCATGTTGCCCCTGCCCCAAGTGCTGCCCCTACAGCTTCCAGTGGCCGGGAACCACAGGGGCAGTGCGCAGACCCACCTGGCCGTCCCTCAGGGTAGGAGCTGGAGAGAGGACATGCTGCTGCTTCCGGGAGCTGCTTGAGGTAAGCGCTGCCCAGAGCCTGCACCCCTGACCTCCCTCTGAACTGCTTGGTCCCAGCCACGCCCCCTTGCAACTTAACCCCCTTCCCCAGTCCAGAGCCCCTTCCCACACCAACCCGCAATTTCATGAGCATTCAGAGCCTGCCCTACAATTTCCATACCCAGATGTGGCCCTCAGGCCAAAATGTTTGCACACCCTTGATTTACAGGCCAGGAACAGCTAAGGGGCCTGAATTGGGGGTGTTGCTCCACCTGCTGCTGTTTGCACTTCAAAAAACACATGTTGGCCAATATTTTTGTAAATTACTAGTCCTACCCCTTCAAACCTCTGTGCCAGGCAGGCAGGCAGGTTGTGAATTTTTTCTTAATTCCTGGTCAGCAAAATAGTAAATTGATTTGCCCAAATCACCTGTTACATCGTCCTCTTTTGGTTAATACGATACAGGCAGTCACTTTTTCCCTCTGATCACCAACATCAGTAATTTGACATGAACAAGCTTGAGTTTCAGCTTCCATGTACTAGTTCACCGAATTTAGTATAGATTAAATAAAGGAACAAAATCTTCAATCTCTACCTGGATTACAAGCTGATAACTGTCCCTGATGCCAGGGCAATATTTGCTACTCAGAATACAAAAGGGTAGATAGGCTGTAAATGCCTGCAGTGGGCCAGTGCTACAAAAACAAAGCATTACAATTTGACTATCCAGATCCCCATTAATATTTAAGGCTAGGTATGCAGAATATGAAAGTCAGTTATATTCTAAAACCCTCTCAAAATATTGCAGTCTTGGGGCTCTCTGACCATTTAGAACCATTTTATATCACGCTACTTCTCTAGGGCACGGAGCACCTTAGCACCAAGAAATTTTCAGTCACAGAACCTCAGACAGTAGCATAGGTGCATGCACTGGCTTTGTGTATGCTAGCCTTAGCTTTATGCCACAAGGACTTGCTTTTTACACTTCATTTAAGGAGTCTCTTCAAAAGAGGAAAAGCAGATTACCCAACTACTAATAAAAGCAATCAGCCTATTGCATCTTTTAATCTATTTCTAGAGAGATTTATCAGATGTAAACAGGTTATTGGGAAATGACTTTATTGCACAGCCAGGAAAAAAAAACTGCTCAGCTAAATCTCCCCCCATCATTCAGAGATTCTGATCATTAATATTAAAAATATTTGTAGATGTTGAGGTAATCCTTCTGGAATGCTCCATTCTAGCACTTATAGAAGGGATGGGAGACTGACTTAAAGGGATATACAGATGTCTGTAAAGTTGCTTGCAGTCAGTTTCTTACTACACAATGATGGATCAGACAGTCTGGGCTGGAATTTGCACATTGTAATTTGCTATTTTGCTATATTTCCAACAAACAGTCAAATATGAGACTCCTACTTTCTTTCTGTATGCAACTGTATCAACTCAAACTTGTTTTAAAGCATAGAACTATAAAGATTCACATTAGTATGTACTGCACTTAGCTAGCTGGTGATTGAAACTACTCTAGTACAGTGCTTCTCAAGCTATCTGATGTGGGGGACGGCGATTTTTTTTCCAATGTGTGCGCAGACTGGCAGCCGCTGGCTCGCGGACCGGCACCGGTCTGCAGACCACCACTTTGAGTAGCACTGCTCTAGTACATGACAAAGGTGCTACAGCTAAGGAATTGTGTGTACAAGGAGCGTAAGTCACCAGATGCAAACCGAATGCCCTAGAAATGTCTTTAAAGAAAAGGAATGATACTTACTTTGATCCTCTAAGAGCAGGAATAACTGTTTACTGGGTTGCACACAGTAGGAGGAAGGATACTTTATAAAGAGCTGTTTTCAGTATCCTTCAAAAGGATTTTTGGCATGTTGTACACTTTCCCCTTCAATTTAGACACTGTCTGTCTAAACTAGTCTAGACTCTACATAGTTTGCTAGTGAATCCTACCTCAGAGCTGCTGAGGACATCATGCTTTACCTCCGTAGGGTCCAGACTTGGGCCTTCTGTTTTTAAAAAGCTATTAGGTTAATCATCCTTGCTTGATCCGTCTGAGTTCAGAAAGACGGACTTAATGCATGTAGCTACCTTTCAGGGACTGTACTAGCAGCATCCATGTGGTTCTAAAACACAGTAAAGCTGAGAGGCTCCATTAGAAGTTAGACCTCTCCTGCACATAGCAAAATGTTTGAAATTAACATTTTTACGCAGTCTGACGAGATTGTGTATATGCATATTTTGTACAGCAGAAATACCTAAGGCTTCTGTACCTGAAGGTGAACATGCTGCATACAGAAGAGTTTCAGAAACACATTAGAACAGCCTCTGAAAAATGTTAAGATTAAAAAAAAAAATACACTGAGTACCAGTGCATATTACCGAAAGTATGAAGAAGCTTAAAAGGTGAGAAGCCATCAAGTCACCACTCTTTGGTAAAGCTGTTTACATTGCATCTCACTTCAAGGCTGCTAACTTGTTACCACACATGCTTTAAATGTCAAAGGCTTATTTTTATACTTTCAACACCACACTGCCAGCTAGTGTAATATTAAATTAAAGGATGTTTTGAGCAGTCTAACGAAACGTAACTTGACAGAACTTGCGCCTTTGGTATTCCATGGTAATCTGTTCATATCCATTTGTCGTTATGTATTTGATATACAGAATTGGCATTTATAAAAACTTTAAAAATAAAATGGTCACAGCAATTATTTATGAAACTGCATTTTCATTTCTACTAATGTCTGTGCTCCCCAAAACCTGCCTGAACACAGCAAAGCAAGCTATGCACACACACTTCAATTGTAGAGTTAGCTGCTGAATGCCGAGGTGTCCAGAGGAAGAGGCCTTTCCACATATTTACTCTTTAAAACTTAGTTTACCCTTCTGCTGTAGGTTTGCAGGGTACGAGCTGCTAATTTCTTGGGCCACATCACCCCCCAACATACTTTCTGCTAGTAATGTCTCACCCTACTGGAATCTGCCTAGAAGTTTCATGAAGGTACACTGGGTAATAAGGAAAACTTTCTGTTTTGGTGTCCTGTGCAGCACAAATGAGAAACTTTCCAAGAGTGCAGGTGTTTTGGAACTTTAATTAGTAACTTACCTTTTAATAGTAGGAAGGATTTGATGCCAAGGGAAGAAGGAAACAAGGAAGTGCATTTGAGAGTTGGCATGTCTGCAAAAGTAGGTACTCAGCACTTAATTGCTTGGTTGTTTACCTAATAGAGGCAGAATAGACAATTGGTTTAGCTACAAAGATTAGGTGACAACATGAAAATTATGCAGTTTTATTGAGACACTTCCGTATTTTATTTAAGCTACAGTCTATCCATGTTTCCCAAAGTAGTTGTTACTTCGTAAACTGGAGATATAAACATGTCTTCCTAAGTATTTGTCTAGCTCAAAGAGGCTAGTGATCTAAGGGTTAAACCTTTGTTCTGCAAGTTCCAGATCATTGAGCCCATCTCTGCAAATGATCGGTAGGTGTAACACACTGAATCACCATTAATTCTGAGGACAGGCTCCCTTCTCTATGACTTTGCCTTGCTTTGTTACAGCTTTCCATAGTGAAATGAAGCACGGAACTGTTAGTATGCAGCGGGGGAAGGACTTATACATCGTATAAGTGATCTTTCAAAAAAGGGCAACACTGTATACAAAGTTGGCTAATCTTTGGTCATAGGAAATTCATAATACCAAATGAGTCATGCATATAAATCTAGTTACAAAGCTGTAATGAGACAATACCTGTCCACATACTGCAGGGTATTCCTAGTGTTAGGTCTTGTTTGAAAATGTACTGTCCTGATTTGGGTATTCTCCAATACACTGATTCTGGAACTGCATTAAGCCTCTGTTTTCATTTCACTAATTGCCAGTGCATTTGGCATTGGAATCGCGAGAGATGATGATGATTTCATTGAGTGAATGTGGACCACGTGCACATTTTAGTCAAAGTTTTAAATATCAGATTCTGGTTTTACTATGGAACTACGTTTAGAACAGCTACTGAAATATTTAGTACTTAAAATACACTGAAACTGTACAACACAAAATAAAATGTGGAAAACCAAAATGTTTACTGTAGTGTGAAGAGTTTTACATTTACTTTGAGAATAGATACACAAGCCAAGGGGCTGGGACAAAATACACGAGGACTACAAAACAAGGAATAGAAAATATTTTGGGTGATGCTAAATTCCCATCCAATTAACAACAAAAAACTGAATACTTTAGATATAGTAGGATACTTTCAGAAATGTTCAGCCACCAAAACTGAATTGTCCTAGGATTTTTGCTACCACTTATTAGCATAACTACTAGACACCACTACTGCCTAACAGCTGCTGCCAAAACATGCCCCCATTCTCTTTCTATTTTTAGTGAACAGTTTCTCTAGGGGATACTAAAATTATAAGTCCCTTAAACAATTCTAAAACCCCACATTACAACCTACAGAGAAATTAACACGTCATCAATCCACATTAGCAACTCCTTTTCTTCATGCGTATCTTAAGGACAAGCTTCTACTATTCGGTAGGTCGAGATCTAATACGACTTCTCGCTGGCACACGTTAATTCATCTCATTTTACAGTAACAACACTTCAGGTGCTGAAAAATGATACTCAAATTCTTAGAAACAAGTTAAATCTGTCATTTTGGCACTGAATTCACCCTCAAAGTCACCCCGCTCCCCACCTGAAAAGTAGGGGATTAGAAGGAGCACGCAACTATTGAGTAATAATGCCACCCTCTCGGGCCAATACTTTAGGTCATGACTAGCTTCCTCATGAGCACTGGAGGCAGACCGAAGACTTCTAGACCCACACATGCAACAGCTTCCTTGTATACAAAATACTTCTACAGTTTCAGAATAATACAGACAAATATGGTTGTTTAAAGGATATGCCAATTACACTTCAGAGATCCACTGTATCTAAAGTGCATCTCATTCTACAAGACAAGCCAAACTGCTCACCACAAGTGTTTGGCTTAGATTTCACACCCTTACTGGCATGTGTTTATACAGGAATAATGCTAGTTATTGCTTCAGCCAGGCTGCTACAAAACAATTTACAAAGGCTGTGAAATACAGCAAGCACAACTTACACATTTGACAACTTGTCTGTCCTACAAAGATTTTACTGAAAAAAACTTCAGCCCTCAACATCAAACTTCTTTAGTGCAGTTTTAAATTTGTAGAGTAAACGCTTAAGATTTGGCATATATTAAATAGTTATTGGCACAATGTTCTTCAGACATTTTGAAGTTCATGTATATTTATACTCCCATTAACCAGAGCAGCAGGAGGACTCAGCCAATTTGTACAGCTTTTCTATCTGCAATGATCCCCTCTTTGACTTTCATGCACTGGAGCGAAAGCTGCTTCATTCGGTTATCCAAAGCCAGACCTTCAGTGGAGTTGCCACTGCTGCTCCTATTCTTGTTCACTTTGTTGCTGATCTTGTTCTCAGCCCCTTCTGCCCTTTCCCCTGCAAAGACACAATTAAAATGTTATTAAACCTTAAGTCTTAGAATGCTATATGGGTCAAGTGGGCACTCGTACAACTTCCTTCACCAAAGTATCTAAGAACCTAGGACAGGGCTTCTCAAACTGGGGCTCAGGACCCCTCAAGGGGTCACAAGGCTATTACATGGGGGGTCGCAAGCTGTCAACCTCCACCCCAAATCCCACTTTGCCTCCAGCATTTATAATGGTGTTAAATATATCAAAAAGTGTTTATACGGGGGGAAGGGGGGGTCGCACTCAGAGATTTGCTATGTGAAAGGGGTCACCAGTAAAAGAAGTTTGAGCGCCACTGACCTAGGACAAAGTGTAATATACTTAGGGCTCGTCTACACTTACTGGAGGATTGACGCTGCAGCAATCGATGCATTGGCAATCGTTTTAGCGGGTCTAGTGAAGACCTGCTAAATCGACCGCTGATCGCTCTCCCTTCGACTCCTGATCAAGAAGAGTATAGGGAAATCGACAGGAGAGCATCTCCCATCGACGTCACCTAGTGTGGACCCTGCAGTAAGTAAATCTAAGATACGTCGATTTGAGTTACGCTGTTCACGTAACTCAAATTGCATAGCTTAGATTGACTTTTCCCTTTAGTGTAGACAAAGGCCTTAAATAATGGATGTTGGCCTTCCAAGCTGAGTTTTGTCTTGTGCCCTGAATCACCAAATGCAATGACTGACAGACTTCAGTAGGAGAGCAATTAATCCTCTAAGCTCCGTTTCTCCTTTGGCACCTTATTTGATCAGAACTGGGCAGCAGGATTACATCATTACTTCCCCCCACCTCCAAAAAAAAAAAAAAAAACAGCTCAGCGCTTATCCTTCAAATAATGTAATATCAGAATCCAAATAGTGGAAGGCAATAACTGATGGATCAGTTAGTTACTGCTACGCCGCTAACATCGTTGCTGTATAGAACATGGGGTCAGGCAGGAGTGAAACTGGGGAACCTCTCATTTTCGGGAATAAATAACGACGTTTTTAAAGAGCAGTAATACTGTGGGATGAAAGTAGCTCTGGCCCCGCCCAGAGAGCAGACCGTGTGTCTGAACCCAATCAGCACAGCATCACTGCAGGAGTTGAGCACGTTCTTCTGCTCCTTTATAAAGCTGCATAATAAATTGGTCCTGGGCTAACCCAGCTCTACTTACCTCTTTCAACTTCACATTCAGGCGATGATGCCCCACTGCATTCACTTCGAGGGCCTAGAACAGGAAACATCATCCCAAATTCGGACAGGGAGACAGGACTGGGCAGGTCCAGGCTTCCAGGTCGCGTTGCTGGAGGAAACTGAGTGGGCATCTCATAGGGACTTGTAGGACCAGAACTGAAACTGGACACTGACTGGGCCTCAGAATCTTCTTCAGACACAAAGCTGCTGCAGTTGTCATCCTCAAACACTTCAGAAGCCACTGTAATGTTTGGGGGGGAATTCCAGTTAGCCTTCCCATTTCCACAAAGCAGCTTGTTCACCAGCAGGATGTACATTGCTATCTTAAGGGCTGCACTTACACGTAGAGTTTAACTATTTCTCTGCAGTATATTAACATTGCATCTCATTAGCAGGCCTTGGGTGAGGGGAGAAAGATTCCCATTTCTTGAGAAGCTTTTGGGAGAAACAAGCTAACATGATGTACCATCCAATACTGTAGCGACAACTCCTCCTCCTCCTCACTGTGTTGAGATAAAAAACAAGCCTATTTGTACTATGCCTCCCACTTGTATGTCTTGTCCACCTATTATAGTCTGTTGTAAGCCAGACAAAGCAGTTTGGGACAGTGACTCTCTCTGTAATAAGTGTACTGTACCCATCACAATGGGATACCTGACTGGAGCCTGTCAATATTTATCTGTAGTAATATTTTAAAGCCAGATGTGGCAGAAGGTGGGAGCTCAGCTACTGCATATTATCTTACTGCTTATGCAGCTAAAATCCAACAGGACTCACTAGAACAGCGGTTCTCAACCCGCAGCCCAATCAGCACACAGCTGCGGCCCATGTGACATCTTCAGGGCAATACAGGTAGTATTGGTTGCCCACAATGGTAAATACATTGGGAGCCACTGCACTAGAATCTGCCTCGGCCCAGGGATCACTAAGCAACACAAAATCTGTCTCCTCGCTCATTTTGTGTGCAAAATTACAATTAGCATTAACCATGTCAAGAGCAAAGGATAGAG